CTTCCCTTTCAAGAGCCCACTGCACAGGTGACTGTTCCAGATGAGTATATGCCAGTGCACCAGCAGTGGTGTGGTGAATGTAAACATTTTACCCATCTATCCATTATCGTAAAAAATATAAGCAGACATGGGTGTTTTGGCTTCGCAACTCCTGGTATTTCCCATGATCTGAGCTGGAGCTCACCATTGTCTGCAGGCTTACAAAAAACACACTTTTGGGTGTATTTAATATATTTTTCAGTCTTCTGGAGAACTGAATTTGTACTCATTCTTGTGTTTCTGATAAGTGCGCTGTAATTGATTTATTCTTTCTTTATTTTATAAACTTAAACAATTATGAACAGCAGATTGAATCAACAGTTTGAATGACCAGAATAAGCTGTGGCGTCTACCAAAGGAGTTTTGAATCTTTTATTATGGGTAAGCAAGCTTATGTCTGAATATTTCAGAGGACAGACAGAGAGGATTTTGAGACGGCAGTTTCAGCTGCTCCCGACACGAGCTCCACCAAAAATTGGCCCTGCCTGCTTGGCCTGTATTTTGGTTTTTTCCTTATAATCAGCACCTCAGCCAGAGAGTTGTAACTGAGCATTCAGGGTGGGGTCTGGCAGACCCTAAGAGGAAGTATGGTCTGTTAGTGAATGTGTCAGCTGTTGAGGATTTTGCGATCTCTGCAGCACAAACCCAATATGACAACAAAACTGCACTTGGATGGGCTGTGCTCTGCTGCCGTGGAAAAAATCTTAATAACATTTGCAGTTTTTTTAGGGAACCTGTCGCAACAAATTATGTGTACTCCCTATTTTTAGGGTTTCTTTCTTCTGTCTGCACAGGGCTTACATTATGAGACTGACTCAGGCCTTACACTTTCCCTTTATCTCTTTGGTTGATTCGTCCAACCTGTTTTGGGTTGGCAAAATGACAGCTTCCTTTTATAGATGATATATCTTGCAAATATGATCAATGAGTAAATAAATAAGTTAATTCCCCAACAGATTTTTAGAAACCACTAAATCTGGCAAATTGACGGATTTATGAGTAAGTACTGCCAACAGATGGCTGATCACATCCTGCACAAAAGTTATTTTCAGTCTTAAAAAGTTCTAAGTAAACAATATCAGGAAAAATGCTTGATGTGCATTGCTTTATTCTAACATGATTGGATGGTTTTTGATGGTTTTCTTATAGATGGGGTCGGTACAAGCAGCTCTTCTTCTGAAGAATAAAGTATTTGTCAGAGTTTGTCTTCTTATGATACTTTACTAATTTATTCTTCTAGTTTGGTCCTGAGAACTTTAATTGTGCATTAATCTCCAGCAACTGTCATTGTCCCACGAGTATAACTGAGATCTGTTTGACTTGTATGGGTTAATGGTTCTTGTAGTACCAATCCACTGAGGTACTAAAAGGTAAATCAGTTGTTTTTTCTTGCTTATTGTGGTTGACTTGATATTCAGACAGAGGGAGGTCCAAATGTGAAACAGCAACAACAGCCTGAGGAAAGGTCTTGTAAAAAGCCTAACAATCAGTAGAGAGAGGAGTTTAATGGGCTCTTTGGAGCTTAGGAGGGAAGGAAAGGAGATGTCTGAGAGTTAATTAAATTATCGTTTGATTTATACTTATACCAGACTTATTCTATGGGAACACAGATTAAATATTGTCAGTACCCCATCATGCTGAAAAGTGTGATATGAGTGTTTTAAGTAAAAAAGTAAACCATATTAATTTAAGTAGCATTTAAATATAAGATGAATGACTGAGACGAATTAAGCAAATTAACCGAATGCTGCATTTTCTACAAGTGGCTGAGTCACGATTCCTCTTCATTAAAGCCCAGAGAGAGAGAGACTGCAGCAGATAACAGGAAGGCTGCTTGGCAGTTTGTCATACACGCCCTTAAAGTTGTAGGGAAGTCATATGTAATTTCAAATCATTCTGGCTTAATCATGTATATGAATGTACTCTTTATCAGACCATATTGTCCCAAAAGTTAGAATATATATATATATATCAACGGTCATCTGTCAATCAAATATTTTTCGGTCATAGCATCTTGATTCATATTTTGCAGCTAATATACGCAACGGTTGAAATAGGAAATAAGAATCATTTCCTTTCCCATTGAGTTCCATCCCAGTGTTCACGGGGATGGACGTCTGTGTCTTCGGCAGGCGTAGAGCTAACAGAACTGGCAGCGTTGCGACGCAAGAGCTCAAACATGTATGACTGTAAGCCTTCTACAGCAAACGAAGCGTCTTCCACAACAACTTAGTCTCCGCTTTCCTCTCTAAATAAATAATGTATGATGGAGGAGACTCATCCACGACCCCCGACACAAAACTCTCCTCCTCTTGCATGTTTCCGCTGCTACTTGGTCCCAATGTAATTTCCCATTGGGAACCTATTACCACTAAGTTGCTAACTGGTTAGCAAGATGCTTCCGAGACCCCGGCCACAACCAAACTGGTTGCGAACCTTCCGTCACAAAAATCCCGCTCCCTCGATAAACAACCAATCACATTGTCTTTATTCACTAATTCAGAACTGCACCTGTTGGAACAGCCGCTTCCCTACAACTTTAAAATATCCATAACACCTTGGTGAACATCAGCTAGTCTTTGTATCACACAGTGTAGCATACCTTCTGCTCCTATTATAAATAATTTATGACTGTTTATTACTGGAAGAACAGAAGAAAGTAGTCGATGTATTGTATAGCACTGAAAAACATATCAGAATCGATTGGTTTCAAACTGGAGCCCTGAAATTGGCCTCAAGAATCCGGTCGATGCATTTAATATAATATAAAAAAAAAGTGTTTTTCATTATTCATATAGAATCAGGGATATTTGTGTCTAAAGCTTGGCGCATGTCGCTAAGTAACCAGTCTGATGGAGGATTTATGTGGCTTCAAACTCCCTTTCCATGTGCCGAAGGATCAAAGGGCTCAGCAGTGGCAGAGAGGGCCCAGCGGCAGTGAAGTCCAGCTGCCATAATTGGAGAAGAGCTGTGTAAAACTGTCCATGGAAGGCCAGGAGCAGCTTGATTATGTTGTAAATTTAATTAGGGCATTGTTGTGTATGTGGGGAGGTGTGTGTTTTCCAACTGCTTGACCTTGCAGCAGCGGTTGTCCTGCATGTGTTTATCATCATTTATGTGTGTGAACACGACAGAATTATGGCTTGAATCCCTTTTGTTCGAATTAGTGGATATTTGCAATGTCAGAATAAACCATCATTAAACACTTGCATTTTTAATCGAGCATAAACAAAGACATTTGTGGCTTTTTCTCACATTCTGCTGCAGTGAATGAGCAGATAAGTGGAAGCGTGCAGAATCCAATATATATATATATATATATATATATATATATATATATATATATATATATATATATATATACAATGTATGTTTCTATGTACAGTAAAGCTTCTGCAGCTTCCACACAGACCCCTTTTTAAAAATGCATAAAAAGCCCTGAGATAAATGTTTTCACATTATAATGTTTTTCAGATTTTCTTTTACATAGTTTCAATCAAGGTTGTCAGGATACAACATTTTTAAACTCACTACCAATATCCAGGAAAATATTTTTAAACTTTATCAACGGAATCACAGATGCTAGTTGAATAAATAATCCAGAAATCTAAAATTTGAAATAGCAAAAATATGTAAACACTCATCTTTATTAATGACTCCATGTAAAATTAGTATCTTATCCGGATACTGCTTTTGACTTTCGATTCTTAATATCAGCTATTAAATATATATATAAAAAAAAATGTTTGTTTTGTTTTTAAGTTTAGCGGTTAGCATTTTGACAGAGATATTGAAGATGTTTATAATTTTGCTATGTAGCCACCTACATTACGCGGAGGTCACTATTAAAATACTTATTTTTATTTAAAGCATGCAAATACATTTCATGATTCTTTTCCTTTCTGGTCAATAGGATTAAAAAAACGGGGAGTAAGTGGGGAATATTTACTGTATTGAGATAGGAAAACCAAGAAAGGAAAAACAGAGGAAAAAGCATAGCAAGGTTCAAAGAACATCTGAACCGCAGAGTGAAAGCTTTCACACATGGGACTCTGTTCTTCCGCCGCGTAACGCCTCACATGAAACATTTAAATCAAACAATTGTTGCTGTTTGCTTTTTTATATATTGTTCATTGTTGACATTTTTCCTGACACACCTTTCTGTATTCAACTGAACTCTCTGGGTGTTATCTTTGTTTTGTTTATTTTAAGCTATTAGAATATAACTAAATGGTATCAAAAGGCTAGCCATAGACTAATAGATGTAAAAAAATACCTAATGAGTTAAAAATAAGGATGTGGCAACTGAAATAAGAAGGGTAACTTACAAGCTTTCCCAGGAAATAAGAACTGGATGTGAGAAGAAGTAAGAAACTACCAGGTGACTGGCTGAAAGTGAAAGAAACTCAGTCTGTTTATTCTTGTCTTAAATCAGTCTTAGGTTTTTGTTTCTTTGCACTCAGGTGATTTGTAATAGGAGCAGGTGAGATATGAAGCAGGTTTTTTTTTAGATTGGATGAGCTTGACTGTTCATGAATGCAGGTTAATGTTGGGCGGATGGTTTCCTCAGCTCATAGTTCACATTAAAAGGATTTTATTTGATAATGTCGGAGTTTTCTTTTCTTCAAAGGACTCTAGAATGCATTTACTTACATCTAACTGTTGTGGCTCATGACCGCTTGCTTTAAAGTTTATTGCCAGTAATTTGAACAGCTAAAACAACAAAGATATGAGTGTTCATAAAGAGCCCGACACGATAAGGCTGTGTATTTGTTTTGCCTATTCAATCCCAAAAACTGCTGCTCAGTTACTCAGCAGTTTTGCTGTGATTTATTTCTCCTTTGGCCTCTCTGTCTGTAGGAATTTAGTTTCCTTTGCAAATCTTTGATTTGACTATATGTAGTGTTTTCTTAAAGCATGAAACCACCCTGAATTGGTCTAAATGGTGTCTCTTTTTCCAGGCGCTGGACCAGGATCGAACTTCTCTTCAGAAGGTTAAGAAATCAGTGAAGGCAATCTACAATTCAGGTCAAGGTGAGGCTGGTTTTCTTCAACATTTTTGTGTCTAATATTAGGTCCAATTCTGTTTTTATTCCTATTCTCAATGTATTTTATTCTTGAAGTTGTGAAATTTGCTTTCTGTACCTAAAAGCTTCCTTTGTGTAGGACAGATGGATGGTGTATTGTGTGTTCCTGTTGTCTAGATTGTCCCAGAAATCAACACCTGAGTTTTACTGCACGCCGTGTCATGGATCTGCAGTAATTTTCCACGGATTTGTTTAGAGCAGCTTTCGGCCCTGTAATTTGACAGCCTGGGATGTTTGTTTGCTCTCCAAAGAAAGGAGTAACTTTACCTCTGGGTCACTTTAACCCTTTAAGATGTACGATAGTCTGGAAAACTGCTGGAAACAGCTGGAAGAAGTTTGTTCAAAAAGTTGCATGTGTGGTTGTAAAAATGTAAACTTAAATCGTTTCCAAAAAGGAAAGGCAGTAGAACATTAGTGCATCTTTGTACGGGAATATTGTAAGTAAAGGGCATAGAGAAGATACTTGTGAAACGTAGAACTACAACAAACAGTAGTTAACACTGCAAAAAAAAAATGAAATCTAGTCATTTTTTTCTTCAATAAGTGTCTTTTTTTAAACTGAGGAGGTAAGGGAGACACTTTGCCAATGGAACAAGACAATTTACATTTAAAATAAGAAAAAACAATTGCATTGTCTTATTTCCAGAGCATATTATCTAATTATCTAATTATCTTCTTAAGATAATACTCATCCCAGTCATCTTATTTGCCTGCTCAAAGTAAGGCTAAATACACTTAATCTAAGAGTTTTTTATTTATTCCAAAGAGTTTTTGCAGTGAGGGATAATATAGATCCTTTAAATAAATCTGTTTTGTTAAAGTTAATGTAAAACAAGCTTTTAAAACAAACTAAAAACAACTTTAGTCCTTTTGTCCTTTGTTTTTGGTTTGTAATGCATGAAAGTCCCCTCCACCTCCTCTCCATCAGGAACGTAACGACGAGGACAGATGGGTTCTAAGCTAAGAGCTCCTGCAGCGTTTGATTCAGCAGGAGAACCACACATCTTCTAACACTGACATGAACTGTACATAAAGATATTTTTTCTATCCTCCAAATCCTGCTTTCTGAGAAAAGCACAGGTCAGGCACCACAGGCCAGAGTCTCATGTGTTTGTTTTATTGCTTATGTTTTTGCTCGGATGAGGAAACCTTCCATCTCAGGAGTCTCTGTGTACTCCTGCCCACATCTGTGCTTGTATGAACGCCTGGCCGTTCCATCCCTTTTCATCCCAGGTGTGTGTCTGGGAGGACTTTAGGGACACTAGATGGATCACATCAGAAATGTTTGCCTGTATCCTCTTGCTTTGCCTCATCTGCTGTTAAATATGCAGAGGAATTTGTTGGTGCCTCTCTACGGGAAACGTAAAATAACAGCTGTTCCTCAAATAATTTGAAATCAGAAGGCTTATTTTCACATTTGTTCCTGTTGTTGTAGTTTTACTTCATAAACATATCTGTTCTTTAAACTGCCGCAAAACTACAAGTCCCAGACATTCACCCTTTCCCTAAAACATTTAGACAACGCTGCCTTTAGGTCTTTCTTGTTTTTATATTACTGTTATGTTTTCTACCTTACTGGGAGTATTATAATATAGTTATTAAATTGACTCACCAACATTTGAAATGTAACATGTGAAAGTTTTTTACACCATAAAGATTATTATTGTTGCAGAAACGTAACAATTTTGTGGACCTAACACTTTTTTAGTAAAATTCACTCTGTCCCAGGAACATAAAGCTGCTTACAGATGTTCTTCCCAAGTTTTTTTAACTCCTCAGAGAACCATTGCCTTTGCTTCTCTTAGGGGACTCAAAATGCATCGGCATTAACTCCGCTATGGACCAATTTGTCTTTTCCGATATATCAATATTGCTCCGATAAGTAAAATTGGACCAATATCAATAACTACTGTTTATTTACACCTCTTTGCCATTTTGTGTTTCTTAAGAGGAGGAGGGGTACGGAGGTTGACCATGTGGTATTTGTTTTGGCATGTGATGCAATGGCAGACTTCATGAGTTTAATGGAAGCAGAGAACATGTCAGGAGAGTTTATCGTTACATATCGGTTATTGCATCCCTACTTTTTCTGACCAAAGTTCAGTGTGGTGCTCATGACACATTTGTTATGGTGTATCTGCTGGTATAAAAACAGCTTTTATTGAATCTCTTTTTTTGGTAGTATCGAAGTATTGCTTCATTAAACTGTAAAAGCGGCCAACATTCTTCGTTTTTCTCGTTTTACCTTTACTTTTACATTGATTTTACATCTAAATTCATTTTATAAGTGCAGAGTAAACATGTGTGCAAGTGGGAACATTCTCTTATTTTGTTTAGAAAAGTTTAACACTTAATTAATAGAGGCTTGTATTTGCACAGACCAGACATGAAACATGCAGATGGAGCGAAGAGGAAGATGAGCAGCAATGGGTCTTGGGAGTTCTTTCTGGAACCCTGGTCCAATGGGTCAGGACTGGCCTCTGCATGGTTACCTCTACACCATGAGAAACACTCTGTTACAAATACACTAAATGACTTTTTTTTTCCCTTTAAAGCTTCACTGCTTTAAAAAATGAATTTTAAATAAGTCAAAATTATTTCAGTCGCCCAGAATCATCTCTCTGTGAAACAGCACAACAGCCTTCACATATGTGGAACATACAGTTCTCTCTCATGTTGTTCATGTAGAGTAATCAAAAAACATTTGCTGAATGACTTATACTTATTTCAATAAGGCGCGTTTCCTTTTGAAAGTGTACTGAGATCGGTCTGAACTCGGTAACCGGGATAACTATTGAATGTAAATGGTACAAAGAACTGAACCTGAATCCGCCAGATACAACTGAACCGTGCTAACATGGTACTAGTACATCAGTCAGTCTCGGGTGCAGTTTGGTTTTGGCGCGGTTCTCAGATAGCAAAGGGTGCATGAGCAGACCACCTCATCTCCTTATGGTCAGCCTCCGTAACCATGAAATTTCAGATATTCATAAAAATACTAGCTTCCATACCATGCCACGTGATTTCCAGTGAGGATTCTGTTTAGCACTGTGATGAACCTCAATCTGCTGCTGTTGTTTCCTGCGTTTGTAGGCTCTGATTACACTTTAGTTTGTCGTATCCACTTCCAAAAAGCTGACTCAGTGAAGTAAATGTACCAAAGGCTGCCTTCTTTGCCTGACTCTCGGCAAACTTCCTGAATATTTGGGGAGCTGCCATGTTGATTTGCTTGTTTACCTTTATAGAGCAGTAGTGCCGTAGATCGTCACTAGGAGGCGACGAAGAGTGCTAGCGTTGTGTGTAAATGGTCTTAAGGAACAGAGCTCAGCACTGTTAACTGATTCAAGCTCTGCACAGATCGGTTTTTAGAGTGTAGTGTAAATGGGGCTATATTTCATCAGGACAACTCCATCAAAAAGGTTTTAACCTTAGCTACATGTTATCCACTTTAGAAGCAGGTTGCAAAAAGATATCATGATAACCTGATTTAAGAAAAAGTATTTTCTTTTTGTGATGTAATGTTACTGCCTTCCACTAGAGTGCTGTTCATTCTTAAGCAGAGTCTTACTAGTATTTCAAGAGGAGTAAAGCCGGGAGCAGAGGCATGCTAGGGCAGAAACTTTAATTCAGAGTCTGGACCAGGATTATTTTCTCTGTTTAATGTCAACAGGGGTACACTATAGCCCCATTTACACTACCCTTTTGAAACCATGATGAAAAAGATCCAAACGCGGTGACCGAGATTACTGTAACTAAACTGGACCGTGCTCGGTCCGAACTCGGCATGGATCCTTTTTGGAGGGTTAGCGTAAATGGGGCATTTGTGATTCTGTTGTCCTCTTGTCACCTAAATAGTGCTTCATTAAGGGGTAGTGTCAAATTGTTAAGGGTTGGTCGTACCCTTAACAATCATAGACAGGTTTCAGGTATTACAGGAGACAATCCCCTCCTTAATGACAATCCCCCCTTTAGCGACCGACCCCTAGAATCATAGACAGTTTCAGATATTACAGGCTAACGATGGAACTAACGACCCATTCATCGGTTTCTATTGCATGTTTCCAAGCGATACAAGGCGTTGTCTATATAAGACTCAAACTCACTGCGGATCCAGACATTTGAATTGAGAAAGCTTCCTGGAGAGGTGGCGAAACGTCTTCAAATCTTGAAAACCAAGTCCAGTGGATATTTTTTGAATTTGTACGGAATGACTATGACCTGGATGACTGAGAACCTTCATCAGCAATGTCTTTGAAAGCATATTTCTGTTTATTCAATCAGTATTTAATACAGCTGACACAATAAATACAACTTTTTGTGTAAAATATGAAGCCCCTTATATTAATCCAAAGATGATCTTTACACAAGAGAAACATTTTTTTTTTTTATGACAATTATCAAGTAATCATTGATAAGATCAATCAACTTTAGATAAATTCAGTCATTCATAACTTGCTTCTCTATTTTTTAATCAACCTGGCTATCAGAAATACTTAAATTTCCACAACATCAAATCTTTGTTTTTTCATGTTTTTGATTTTAATTAAAGAAATAAGTCTTTTATGAAATGCAAGGAAAAAAAGGGGTGGGTTTCTTTCAGTGAGAGTAAACTGCACCGTCTTTAGTGGTTTTAAACTGGTGCTCTTTGAAACTGGGATATTTTGTTACCAAAAACCAGCTAATATCTTATCATGAAAATTATGTTAAATAATGTATGCATGTTAAGCTGGGAGGCTTTCAAAAAATGTGTAGATTCAACAACAAACACTGAAAGGATTTTGCTAAACCAGCAGGCCACTTCCTTTCCTCCTCAGATGGGCTATTTGTGCCAAACACCAGTCAGGATTCAGTGTGTATAAAGTGATTCCTGCTTAACCTCCTTGTATTTTCCAACAGATCATGTGCAGAATGAAGAAAACTATGCCCAGGCTCTGGATAAGTTTGGTAGCAACTTCATCAGCAGAGACAACCCTGATCTGGGGACAGCTTTTGTCAAGTTCTCCTCCCTTACCAAGGAGCTGTCTGCCCTGCTGAAGAACCTGGTGAGTCCAGCTTTTCAACGTCCCTTTTCAAAACAATAATTTAGAGTAGACCTCTTTTTTTTTTTTTTTAATATGTCTGCCCTGGAGGTTGGTTTCAGCCTCATAACTATAGCAGTAGGAAACATGTTGTCACACAGCTTGCTTTTCTTGCCTGTCCCTGCACAGAGTGGTTAGGATGTCAGTTTAGGTCTCTGATTTTCAAGGGTCACTGGTGGGTTAAATACAGGTTTCTACAGCAGACTGAGACATTCTTCTCATTTTCTAAACTTTTCAAAATTGTATAAAAGTCTCCCACATGAGCTGGCATGGCTGACTGCCTGCTGCATAAGTAATTCATTTTCCTCTTGTAATCCTTAAAAACATCCTTGCCTTTTTTCAAGGTTCCATATTTTTCTTAGACTGTTGGTTTTCTTCATTTTCTACAATAAAAAAATGAATTAATGAGATGGTTCTATACAGAAAACGCATCGTAAAATAACTGGATTTTAACAGGCACATTTTGGTTTAGAAGGTAGCAGATTTTATTTTGAAAAACTTGATTTTAGCCAATTCTTTTTGATATAGTGTGTATGTAGAGATATCGAACTATCAATCTATTTGTCGATAGCAGCCAGAAAAAAATGTCTAAGATTTGCCTCCTTGTTCCTAATTTTAGATAATTTACTTATATTAGAAAACCCGTAACTCAGTAACAGCTTCCACAGTGTTGTTTGTGTCACCTGTTAGTGTTTAATTTTGTATGTTTAATTTTGACTTTCTGAGCAACCGGTCACTGTTTTAGTAACCATTGGATGTTTTGGTGAATCTCTGTTTAGTTACTATCAGCTTAAAGTACAGACAATTTTTGTTCATATATGTTCAGGATTCCTATATAAGCTCAATTTGAGTGTTTCATATAAGTTGTATTCAACTTGTTGAAGATAAGTAATAAATAGGTAACATTATTGCATAAGATAGCTTTAAACATATAATTCAGATTAATGTTGGTTTAAAAATAAAGCTCTCTTATTTTGTTGTAATAAAGAGACTAATAAAGGGATTAATGTCACCCTGTAAGGTTCAGTATTTGAAGCAGGTGCAGCAGTTTATGCAAGAAGAGTATGGGGCAACATGTTTTTTGTATGGTTGCTTAAACTGCTTTGGATGAAAACTGCTCCTGTAAGAATACAGAAATGATTTTCTTTTTTATATGAGTCCTTAGGATCAGTATAATGCACGGTTCAACCAGGTTTACCAGGTGCAACTTTACAAACTTCAATTAGCATATAAGCTAAATTCATCTAATATAAAGTGGTCAGGTCTTATCTTTATGCTTTTATAAGGTTTTCACATACTGTTAATCCTATTTTTCAGACCTCATTTTTTGCCATCTTGTTATCGACTTTGCTTAAAGGTATAGTGGAGGATCAAAATTAGTGGTCTTCCTAATTGTCAATCATTCTGGTGTTTACGTAAGGCCATCCAAAGTGATCGTCCCATTTACAGGTGGTGAGTCTGACATAAAGGAAAAATAGCAAATCCTCCTTCGGAAAGTAAGCTTGTATGAGATGCAAAAAGCAAGTTTTAAACAGAGCGTGCACGAGGTGAAATGGACTTGTGCATGCTCTCGCACACATTTTATAAGGGTCCCCTCTCAGGAGTGGGTACAGGGTTGTGCATGTGCATTTTTTTTAATGGAGAGGTTGGGTCTTTTCAAAAATTTCCAAAAATTGTCCATTATACCTTTAAATTTAGCTACAGATTTAGGAACATGCTGTGATGGACAGGTGAAATTCTGGAGAGAAAATTATAGTGGTTGTGGTTTGAAGACCCAAATGCAGAGGCAGGGAGGCAGAGCTGCGTTTCTTGTAGATTTAATGAAGGGTTAACAGACAACTGAGGCAGGAATCCAAAGATCAAACATGAAAAAAGTTAAACAAACCAGAAACCATGGAGACTTCAGGGGGAAAAAAATCACAAGGAAGACACAGTAAGACATAGTTGGCGGAAGTTAGACGAGGAACCAGAACTGAGGAACTGCACAAGGAGAGTATTTATGGGAGAATGAAACAAAGAGAAGACTAACGAGCAGATTGGGAGCAGGTGTGAAGAGAGCAGGAGGTGTCAAGGAGCTAGGGAAAAAGGAGACCAACACAAGAGGGCAACAGATAAAAACCTGAGAACTGAAATATAACCAGAAAACACAAAAAAATAAGAATTAAACCAATAAAACTAGCAAACATGAAGAAATGGTAAAACTGAATACTTAAAAGAAAACATAACAGAACCAAGACTGTGGCACGTCAGAGGTTTAGACCTGGAGGAGTGTTTGGTTGCAGTGCAATTTTAAAACATGGCCTAAGTCTTAAACTTTGTTCTTTTAAAATAAACACAGTGGAAAACTTTGCCAGAGAATTTTACCCTTAGACGCTTATTATCTTCCTGCCATGGATTTCCTTCAGTTCCTGTTAAATAACGTGTCCTGTTTAAATCCTCTGTGAGCGATTGCTGCTGGAAGAAGAGCCAGATCCCGGCCTTTCCTTCCCTTCTCTTCCCGTGTGGCTGACAGCGAGATTAGACAACATAAATACACTTGGCAGCAGCAGGGAACAGCTGAGTGTGTCTTTGTTACCCAAACCAAATGCCGCTGTCTGTGAACCAGCGTATTGTGGAAAAGTGAACGGATCTCTCTCAATAGCCCTCTAAGTTAAACTTATCTGCAGCAGTGTATCGAGTTATCAGCCCTCGATAGCTGCACCCTGAGGGCAGCTGGTACGACAAATGAGTATCGACGACCAAGAGCATGTCCTGGATGTGTCCCCGGGTTTACACTAACTCATTTAACCAGTTTCCCTGCATCATCTTGTCTTTGTATTTCCAAGAATTGTGTGGTTAGAAGAGAAAAGCCTTTGTGACAGTTAACAAGAGGAGCTGGAAGAGCTCGTCAGCAACCGGTCGGTGAAGGATTGATTTTGATGTTGGCCATATGCAAGACAGGCACTTAAGGAGCACATTAGTGCCCATTAGTGCTTGTTTACTTCCTTCAGCGTGGCTGCTGTATCAGAGTGGACTTGGCTAACAACAACAGGGTCTTAAATGCATAGTAGTCATGTAAATGACCTCTATGGAGCCGCTGAGCAAAGCTGCAGCAACAAAAGCTGCAGGACAAATCATTTCTTTCCTGCCTCTCCAAAAGCTTTAGCAGATATGGTTAAAAAAATAAAGCTGGTGTTTCATAAAGATAAGAAGCGGCTCACCTTTCCTCTTGTCAAGGTTGAAAAACTTAAATGGTGAAGAGACTTTCTGATTTGAGCAAACCCCCTCTGAACTAATGGCTGAATTTTTCATTTTGTGTGCTCTAGAATTTATCCAGTCGTTTTTTTTTTTTAAGTCTGTTTTATGTACGATAGAAAATGTCTTTTGCATAAAACACCCTTGAGCATCTCTGCTCTTATTTATAAAGCTTCATTTTCCGATAAACTGAACAGGAGGTTGGTCCATCTAAGGTCCTGTATTAATTTAGGGGAAGGACGTTAGAATATATTAGCTGCCATACATTATACACAATTACTTAACCAGCATACTACTCTTAGACCTTCAAGGTGTGCAAGCAGTCAGATGTCCATTTTTTAAGTTGGTCCTCTACATATTTTTTAATTCTCAGTATTGCTGGTTAAATTAAACACTGAAATAGACTAAGGCGCAATCCCAATACATCCCCTACTTTCAACCACTACTCATCACCCAGTAACCACATGCCCCGGCGTGAAGCCAAAACGGTTAAGGATTCATAATCTTCTAGGAATTAGGATACCCCTCGCTACATAGTCGATGTTTGGGTACGTATCCGACTTTACATTTACTTATGCACAAGATACTGTAAGTTGCACCAAAAAAAAAAGAACAAAAAAAGACAAAGCTTTTTTGAAAAAACAAAAACGACTATTGAAGATGAAATTGTAGGAAAGAGGATTAAGCTGAGCTTGGTTATCTATCTTTTTCATTTATCAGGTATTAGTCTTTCAAAGTGGTTATTAAACTTAGTTAAGCAATTTTTGTGCAATAAATACGCAAATTACTAAAGCATAGGACAAAATTACACAATACCATGCTATTTTTTTTCCAATCAAAATGAAAGACAGAGAAAATATTGTTGCCCAAAAATGTTTTTGGTGGCTTTTGAAAAAAACAGACTGTTTCATTGTCCTACCTCCAGTGCAGACACCGGCCAGCTGATGCCTTCTCTCCCCCACTCTAGTTGGGCGGCAGGCTGCGCAGATCCTACGATGTGCTCCTTCCGTTGTTCTATGACTTACCAAATTTCATGCTGCTCTCCTTCGTTCTTCAGTAGTTAGCCTCCATAGCTAGCCCCAGCCAGCTGTAGTCCCTCCCCAATGGCGCTGTTTCCCCGGTGGGCTTCTCCGATCTACAGCTGTGCTTCTCCACTTTCTTCCTGAGCTAGAACCGGCAAGCTGCTGCCATCTCTACTTGCTCTGGCTTGCTGTTTCCTTGGCGGGCTCCTCCGATCTCTCACCGTGCTTCCTTAACTCCAGAGGGGGACGCTTGGGCAGCCTATTTCCACGTCTGGAGCTCTTTCTGAATGTGTTTTTATACTTATTTCCTGCTTCTCTTGTCTTTGCTCCAAAATACTTAGGCCCCGTCCACACGAAGCTGAACCCTGGCCTAAACGCACAAATTTTTCACCAAACCAGCCTCTCATCCATACGAAGCCGGCGTTTCGGGGGTCTGTAAACAATCTTTTTTTTATTCAGCCTTCAGAGTGGGAAGATTTTGAAACGCCGTTTTCGCGTTTCCATCTTTAAGCTCTAACCGCATTTTTTTTTTACATGCATGCGTCATAGCGTCGCCTCTAAACACGCATGCGCGACACAGTATCACAACAACAATGGCGCCGTACTGTGTTGAATGGTTGCTGCTCATGCTACTCACCCTGCTGTCGGGCTTACAACAGAATGTTCTTCTTCTGGAATATCTCCAGGAAGAACAGAGCAATATCGACGACATAGTTCAGCACCTGAATTTGACTGAACCACGAAAATGGACCCGCAGGGCAACCATGTATAAATATTAGTGCGCATGCCCAACATTTCGTCGCCTATTTTTTGCTTTGGCACCACACCGCCACTTACAGGCCTGGCATACATTTTGCAGCGTTTTCATGCATTCGTGTGGACGATCACATTTATTTTACGTCTCCATCTTTATGACAAACGTTCTGGAAAATATTAGCGTTTCGTGTTCGTTTTGACTTTGTGTGGACGGGGCCTTAATCTCTGTTGTCTGGGAGAATCCGGTGAACCTAGAACGCCCATGCCAATGGCTTTGTTTGGCTTTCAAAAGTAAAAAGATAAACAACAACAAAATCTCACGTCATCCATGTTTTCTGTGAAACTGTCTCCACCCCTTCCCTAGCAAGTCAGCATCTGAAATTCCTTGTTTTTAGGGGCTAAAATATTAACTTCTGATAGTGTTGCTAAAATTACAATAACTTCCTCCCCACATATAACATTAGCAACACTAACTACAGCAACTATAACACTACATAAAAACACAGCTGGTGTTTTGAAATACCTGAATGAATTATGACTAAATATTTTACAGATCTGGACAGGTACGGAAAATCTTCAATTATTAGACTCTTTTTGTACAGTACAATTCCAGAGGTTCATATCCATCCAATCAACCAACACTTCTTGGTGTAGTAATGTCTGTAAAGCTACAAATTACCATCAATAATGTGCTTAAAAATACAAATCTACTTGTTTAAAAATGAGTGTTACCACCAGCCATGAGCCTTTGCTCTGTTCAGCAAATTGCTAAGTTCTTGTGTGTGTGTGTGTGTGGGCGGCAGCTTCATCCATCTGGCGTCTTTGGCAATTTTGGAGTCATTTCATTTATTTTTTCTTTTTGTTTTGTAGCTCATTGTGTTTTAATCTCTCTGCTGTTAAGAGGAGTAAACATTTAACAGACTCTCATCAGTTGTCTGTCTATTAGTCTTTGTCATTATGTGAAAAGTTCCAGCAGAGAAAAGAAAAAAAAACAGAAATCACTTAATGCTCGTCTAGTTTTTAAACATCAGACGAGGAGGACGAGTTTCATTTCATTTCCATGTTTCTTTCTTATTTATGTTCCAAATTAAATTACAGCGCCTGCTCATTTATCATGTTCTGTAGAAACATTCTGTTTATTAGACAGAGTCATTGTTTTGTCTTCAAGAGAATCTATCAACCATTTGCTTCTGGCGCACTGTAGGAACACATCAGCTGTTTCCTATAGTTGTTGAAACCTTTTTTTTTTCTTGCAGCTCCAGAGCCTCAGCCACAATGTGATCTTCACCCTGGACTCGCTGCTCAAGGGGGATTTGAAAGGCGTGAAAGGGGTAAGATTCACAGTCTTACTGGACTCTGCATCGTCAGCATGTCTATATGCATCTGAAATCCCCCCCTGCCTGTGATTAAGTGGAAAGACCGGGGGAGAAAGAAGAGGAATTTTCCTTTGAAACCGTAAATCTGGCAGATGTAAACACTGCCTTTGTGTGGTGTATAAAGAGAGTAAGTGGGTCATGAACTCCTCATGTTGGAGGTTAAAGAAGAGGCGTTGTCTTCACTGGGCAATCAGGCTGTGAATCATGAGTAAAAATGTTTTCAAACTCCACAAATATCTCAGTCCTCAAACTGACCTCTTTGGACTTTACTGAATCTAGTCCTTCTGCGTCTTCAGGACTTGAAGAAGCCCTTCGACAAAGCGTGGAAGGACTACGAGGCCAAGTTGTAAGTAGATGAAGCTGTACTGTACCAGCTTCCTAGTTTGTCCTGATTAGAATCAGAGGTGACTTTTTACTTTGTTTTCTTTCAGTACAAAGATAGAGAAGGAGAAGCGGGAGCACGCCAAGCAGCATGGGATGATCCGCACCGAGATCACCGGGGCTGAGATCGCAGAGGAGATGGAGAAGGAGCGCCGCCTGTTCCAGCTGCAGATGTGCGAGGTGAGTCGTTTTATATTTTGACTTACACTGATTTCACAAAAGGGAATGAAAATAAAAGTTTTTAGGTATTTTTTTCCCCAGTGTTGCTTATTTAGATTCTTCCCAAGGAAAATCCAGCTTTGAGCCCATAGAGTAAGACTGGAAGTCATCAAGCAGAACAATTTGTTCAAACACTCTGTTTCTGCTGCCTTAACGCTTCTTTTTCAGCTTAATTTTGACGACTTTGAACGCAACTGTCTATTACACTGAATCGTCTTTGTAGAGACGTATGGATGGACGGATATTTCTTTGCTTAAAAGCTTAGAAATGGACCAACCAATGGGAGTTGCTACTCAGGAAAATTTTCCATATGCTTAAAACAATCTGATGGTCGAATACGTTCCATCAGGTTTTTAAGCCAGAGCATAAGTCCTGGTTCCATCCATCAAAGTAGGTCCTGAAGCATCAAAGTAGTCCCAGACCACCACACTACCACCACCATCTTTAACTGAATACATGTTGATCTCTATTTTACAACATTGGTAGAAGTTAGTGGCCTTCTGAAGCTTCACCACATTCTATGTTTTCTTTAGTTTTCGGATAATGGTTCTCTATTTTGTTAGCTGGAGACTCAAAACCTTAGAAATGTATCTCTCCCCTCTGATGGATGTCCCTGACTTTGTTTCTCATCTGTTCCTCCGTTCTCCTCACTTACTTGATCCCTCGATTATTCAGGTCCAACACCAATCAGTGTGGACGTGGCTAGTAAAACATAAACACCTGTTTTTAATCCGTTAAGTCATAATTTAACAAGGGTTCAGCTACATTTCATCACAGGGGCAGCTTGTTTGGATGGCTGCTTCCCCCTCAGTGAATCAAGTTGTTATTGGAAAACTGCCTCTTGCATTCACTCAGTTTAATTTACTCTGATATTAAAATGTGTGATTCTACTTTTCATGGCCCTGCGTTTATATACGACCTAAAACGATGTGTAATTACTGAGAGGGGTTAATTAAATGATATACATGTTCCAGCCTTAAGCTGTGAGGTGTTGCTGCGGAATTTTAAAAGGAAATTGTTCTGAGAAAAGTCAGATATTTATGGTTTAAATCAAAGTTTTGTTCTCTAAGAGTTTTTAAACTTTCTCTTAATCCTTTTTTTTGTCTTAATCTAGCTACTATGTTTCACAAAGGGCAAACATTTGAGAAACCTGGCAACAAAAAGTAAAGCCTAAAACAAAAGTGAGCTCTGTGTTTGTGCCCAGAAGAATTAGAACAAACTGTTTGAGCTCTCTCTGTTAGGCCAAAATCCTCCCTGGCCGTGGGCGGCGGCGCCTACGCCTCGCTCACTCTCTATTTTATTCTGCTAGAATTTTTTCTTTTTCTTAGATTACATAATGCCGCTCACTTTGCTTTCTGGCTTTTCTGGATTAGCTTTGTGCAAAGTCCAGCAGACAGGCCCTCTTCTCTTTCCCTCTCCTGCATTTTCCACCTGTTTCCACAAAGATGAAGTCAAATCTCATTATCCATAATGCTTTCCAGTAACTCTAGACAGCATCTCAGTGAGGCTGAAAGACTCATCCTTTTTATAATTGACAACACATTGAATATCAAAAGCTTTTTAAAAGTGATCTGCAGTGCATTTTCTAAAACAACATTAAAAGTCAGGCTGGAAGGGAAAATTTGCATGCCTTATTTTGAAGGGGGTATAAGTTGCAAACAATACGGCTTGTTTTTGACACCTGAGGGTCAGTGATTGTAAAACTAGCGTTGAATCAACGCTCTCACATTAAGGATACTTTGAGTGTTATAACTTTTAAAAGTCTTGAATCATTTTCGAGCTAACAGTTAAATGCACGGAGCTTGTCTCTTCACACATCAGGCTTTTAAAATTCATCTGACACCTTCTAGTCGCCTAACAGACTTGTTAAAACACATCCACTTTTGAAAGAGCGTAGTTGGTGGGCTATTTTTAGCTTTTACTTCTCTAGCTAATGCTTTAAAGTATCCATCTCTGTTGATTTCAGCACATGATTTCAGCTATTCATTCATTTTTGCTGTGATTTGAAGCTTTAAAAATGTCAGAATTCATCAGAATTTGTTGGCTGAAAGTCCAACATAGTGAGGCTCTCTGTTTGCCTGCTGTGCTTTGGCTCCTATCATTGTCTGAATGTGTGCAGCAGCTATGAAACCCCATCAGCTGCTGCATTTTACAGTTTAGCTGCCCGCCTCCGGTTGGAGCTGGATGCCAGCGACGAGTTGTAGCACCCACATCATTATCACCGCCTTCCTCTTTTGTTGGCTTCCTTGGCTCTAGATTTGGTTTGAAATGAATTACAGTTTGTTGGCTTTTTATGAATTCGTGACTATTTTCTGTCATTGTGGCTTAAAGAGGTGAAAGGAAAACAGAACTGGGTTGCATTAGATACATAAAGTGAGTTTAAGGGCTCACATGGTAAGGATGTGTAAACAACTCATCTTTAATTTCAGTGGTCTTCAGCTGTGAAATTAGATGCAGTTTGCAGTTGACCCACAGCATCACAACTCCATTGAACTCAACAGTGGGCATGAGGTGCTCTTTCCCATTATCATCTTTTATTTTACAACCGACAGTCGAGGATTTTCTTTCCCTAAAAAAAGCTAGAGGTAGTAAAACTCCAGACGTTTAGGTCTGTGTTTGTAGGATAGAATCATCTTTCTCCCAAACGTCTGTTCGATATATATCGATATCATCTAATGGGATTAATGGAGGCCTGATAAGCTCCATGATCCCCTTCCTTTGGCAGCAGTTCCTTAACAATGAGCTTTGTAGATCATTTTCTTCCTTCCTTATCACTCCTCCCCAAGCCTCATTCTTCACATCTCCAGTTGATTAAACTGTTTTGATTGTGAATATTGCTCCAATAGCTGGTATCAGTCGATAGATATTTTCTTGTAGCCATTTTCTGTTTTTCTTTAAATGCACGCTCTTATTTTGAAGAATGGATCAATTAAATGGGAATTCTCATCATATTGTGTTTATAGTTGACTGAAAAAGTTAAACACAGCTGACTAGTTTCGGTATTTCCTGGTGATTTATTAGGTGTTTCTGTCTTATGGGTCTGCAACTTTTCTCCAAGCAAACAGCCAATTTGCTCTCAGTTCAGCTTAATTCAAATAATTTAGGATTTAAAAAAAATATCTACTACATTGAATTTGCTTTCATTAGAAATAATTGTATTTGTTGAAATTGAAAATAAAATACAATTAGAGTTTTTACATAGTCTAAATAAATAATTTAAGTAGAAATTAACCAAAGTATTAATGACATAAATGCTTTCTTAAGAAAATAAGTGACCAACAAATCCCTCTCTCCAGTGATTTATTAGCTTATTTTAAACTAGATATATACGTAATTAGATTATTTTAGTCTCCATAGATTAAAACGAGGTTTTGTATTAATAGTGTGGATGTTACATTTTGTTGAGTTGGGGTTAACATGTTTTATTAAGGGTTTGTTCTGGGATTTCTTTGAAGCTAAAGCATTTAAGTAATGCTGTACTGAGGCCCATCCATCCATCCATCCATCCATCCATCCATCCATCCATCCATCCATCCATCCATCCATCCATCCATCCATCCATCCATCCATCCATCCATCCACCCATCCATCCATCCATCCATCCACCCATCCATCCACCCATCCATCCATCCATCCATCCATCCATCCATCCATCCATCCATCCATCCATCCATCCATCCATCCATCCATCCACCCATCCATCCACCCATCCATCCATCCATCCACCCATCCATCCACCCATCCATCCATCCATCCATCCATCTTCCTCCGCTTATCCGGGGTCGGGTCGCGGGGGCAGCAGCTTAAGAAGGGAGGCCCAGACTTCCCTCTCCCCAGCCACTTCTTCTAGCCCCTATGGAGGAACCCCAAGGCGTTCCCAGGCCAGCCAAGAAACATAGTCTCTCCAGGGTGTCCTGGGTCTTCCCCGGTGCCTCCCCCCGGTGGGACGTGCCCGGAACACCTCACCAGGGAGGCATCCAGGACCAGGAGGCAGCCTAACCAGATGCCAGAGCCACCTCAACTGGCTCCTCTCGACGTGTAGGAGCAGCGGCTCTACTCCGAGTCCCTCCCGGATGACCGAGCTTCTCACCCTATCTCTAAGGGAGAGCCCAGCCACCCTACGGAAGAAACCCGTTTCGGCCGCTTGTATCCGCGATCTCGTTCTTTCGGTCATGACCCAGAGTTCATGACCATAGTTGACGGTAGGAACATAGATCAACCGGTAAATCGAGAGCTTCGCTTTTTGACTCGGCTCTCTTCACCACGACGGACCGGTACAGCACCCGCTTCACGGCAGACGCTGCACCAATCCGCCTGTCGATCTCCCGCTCCCTTCTTCCCTCATTCGTGAACAAGATCCCGAGATACTTAAACTCCTCCACTTTGGGCAGGACACCCCCCCTGACCCGGAGAAAGTACTCTACCCTTTTCTGGCTCAAGACCATGGCCTCGGATTTTTAGGCACTGATCCCCATCCCGGCCGCTTCACATAAGTGCTTCAGTTTTTCCTTCTCTCTCACCCCTTCCTCATATTTTCAACCATTTGTTTTAGATGATAATTTTTAGCTTATAAAAAGTGGAATCAGAATAACAAATACCAGACATTTCCCTAAATTAACAGTCATCAGTGATGGGAATCTCATTGCTGCTGTTGTTGTTGTTGTTGTGGGAGTGCTGCAGTCAGTGGTACAATCTGTTCATCCCACTTAACCTCATTTCTCTACGTTGCCTTCACTCTGGCTCTCTCACACTCTCCCCACGTTACTCAATCACCAGATTACACCATGCTCTCACTCTCTCACTCCCCCCCCCCCTTTTTTTTGTCCCACACGGAGGAATGAGGATCAGCAGGCTGCGTTCTACCCTGCAACAGCATGATAGTTGCCATTCATTCACACAGAAGGGATTCACAAACCCGCTCACGCGGCGACGCTCATCAATGACGCCGGAACCACTCGAGCTTTAAACAAAAATGTGGATGATCTTCTGCCGCCATGCAGACAAAGGGACAGCACATGCATGCATGCTTGCACACATATGCACACGTTCACTCGTGCGTGGGTTAACTCGCATGCATCAATATACAGTGGAGCTGTACGTTTGCATTAATAGCTGACTGCTGCGAAAAGTTGGTCTTTAGCCTCTTTACGATCCTTAAATCTATTGGGTCTTTGTAGGATTATCTGAAGATTATCTTTCATTTGTTTATTTGGCGGGAGCGCTGTCTGAGGACATTAGTCTGAGTAAACAGGGATCTTCTCCTTAAAAGATGCCAAGAGGGATTCTTCCCCCCTTTTTTGAAGAGGGTAAAATATTTTCTCAGAATTCAACATTCACTCTTTTTACTGCTCTGGTCTACAATGAACAATATCACAGTTTCAAGAAAATAATTTAGTCATTCATTTATAGTATAATGAAGCATACAGCGCCTTGAAAAGATATACACACCCCTACACTGTTTGAGGTCTGACACTTTTTTGTCACGCTGTAACACAAACTTTAAGGTATCTTATGTGAGAGACTCATACATGATTGTAAATAATTATCAGGTAAAAGGAAAGTGACTCGTGGTTTACTCACATGTTTCAAAATAAAAATACAAAAACCTGTTAGATATATATTCAGTCTCCCCGCGGAAATGTTTCTGTTAGAGCATCTCTGTCTTTCAGGACATGTCTCTACCAGCTTTGCTCATCTAGAGAAAGATATTTCTGTCTGTTTTCCTTTTATTCACAAAAAATAGTTCAGCCTCAGCTGGTTGGACAGATTCTCAGCTGGATTCAGGTTTTGGTCTTTAACTAGACCATTTTAAAGGCGGTATAAGCTTTGATCTAAACCAATCCATTATTGCTCTTGCTGTATGTTTAGAGCAGTTTTCACCCTTTATTCGTCCTGCAGCCTTTAAATGTGCCTCCACTTCAACACGTCTGACTCCAATAGGAGCTGATTCTCAGAGCTTGGCCACTACTGGTGAGGTAGTCCAGTCATTAAAATACAGGTGGCAAAAACAAGGTGAAGATGCCCAACTACGACCTGAAACCGTGAGGCTAATATGATGAGGGAAAGTGTTGATTATATGGTTCTTCTTCCTCTTCAGACTATAAAAACCCTTTTTACATGCCCTGAATTCTAACTCTGCTTTTCTCCTCTGCTTTCAGTACCTGATCAAAGTAAATGAGATCAAGACCAAGAAAGGAGTGGACCTCCTGCAAAACCTGATTAAGTATTACCACGCACAGTGCAAGTAAGTACACCATAATCCCTCCAACACATATGTGCAGCCTGTTACAATTTTTTTAAACCATTAAGTCATATTTCAGACTCAAAAAAAGAAAAAGGGACCCTTTCCCTGTCTTGTCTTTGGAGCAGGTTTGTCTTGTATTGTTCCCAGATATTAAGATGGCTCATAAATCTGAACAGGTCATCATATAGATACACTATGGCAACTGAGGGGATTTAGCGTTTAAATGTAGTGGGTGCTAATCTCTCCAGAGCTGCAGCTCACAACAACCCGTGACAGAATGACAGATTTTCTTCCAGGGTTACCATGTCCTGTCATAACACTTGGACAAAACACTGCACTTCCCAGCTAATCTGTTCAACCTGGGCCTTGAAAGATGGAAAGGCTGTAGGAATGATGGATTAGGGGCATTAGAACAGCAGACTGAGAGCAGAGGAAAGTGGTCAAAGCTTGAGAAGAAAGAAAAATGGCCCCCTTTAGGAGAAATTAAAACTATAGCTGCATTATTCTAGGAAGATTTTTCTGGAGGAATTTAGCAGTAGTTTCTCCCCTTCATTTCAGCAGCCATATTGGTAAATATAAGGCTGCATTTTATGATAGAGTAGCTGTCAAGTGTGCATCCTTTGCACTTTGAAAGGTAAGCTGGGTAGCGTAGGAGGAAAGATGTTGGCTTATCAATGCAGTGATTGAAAGAAAACGAGCTAAAATAGACGTGGCAGGAAAAGTAATGAGAAGAGGAAGGGAGATGTTCTTTCCAAGAAGAGTCGGGTGGAGGGCAGTCATTAGTGGTGATTTGCTGCTGCAGAACTTCATCGAGGTGTGTACTGCTGACGGATGTGTAATGGATTTCAGAGCGTGCTAAACGCCTCTGCAGAGAGAGAGGTCAAAGCCTGATCTGCTTCCAGCACCAGACGCCAAAGGTGCCAAATAGTGAGAATGAGCTGAGCTGTGCGCTAAATCGCAAACTGTCTTACTTCAACCAGGGATCACATTGTACTACATGACTTTTCATAAAAGCTGTGTTGTTAATGAATGATCAGGGTCTGAGTGTTGGGGCTTTCTCATCTCTGTTCTCAAGTTTCTTCCAAGATGGCTTGAAGACAGCAGATAAGCTGAAGCAGTACATCGAGAAGCTGGCAGCTGATCTCTACAATGTAAGCATTCATTCCTCCCCCATTATGCAATTTATTTATTTACCAGCAAAAACATCAGCATTTTATTCAAATTAATTTATGTTTAGATATTTGCTTATTTCTAGTTGTTTTTCTTTCATTTTTTTTGTCTCATGTTATATTAATTTTTGTCTTTTTTTTTTTCTTTGTTATGTTTGCCTATTTTGTATTTTATGTGGCTTTTTTCTCTATAATTTTTTTTTTTTTTTTTACTTTGCTTTTTTATCTCTTTAAATTTTGTCCTTATTTCCTTTATTTTCTTATTTTATATTAAATGTTTTTAACTTTGGCCTTTTTAATCATATTTTACCTTTTTTATATAGTTTATGTTTTTTTACTTCTTCTTCTTCTAAGTTTATTTATTTATTTTTTGCTTTTACATTTTTTTTTCATATAATGAAATCACATTTATATGACTTTTTTACTCATTGACTAAAAATTAACTGACATTAAAAAGCAGTAGCCTTCAGCGGTTTATTGATTTTCTTTTAAATGAATTTCTCTCAAGGCAAATGAAAACAGTCTTAATGTCACATATTATTTTGAATCTCAGGCTTTTGGGTTTAACTTAGTCTTAGTTGGAATTTGATTTAAGCTTGTTTTTAAACACAGCTGAATATCGACTCCAACTCACTTAAGACTTTCAAATAAATATATTACAGATCAATCCACTGTATATCATTATTTATAAAAAACAAATGTGAACAAAATGATCTAAGGTCCAAACAAAAGCTAAACATCTTCAACAGGCTTGATGAAACACTGTTTATAGAAGACCAGTTTGAAGGATTACAACAAAGCCTGTCTCCATGGTAACAAAATACAAGGGTGGATGGTTTCATTTGTTTTGAACAGTGTTTCTGTCTAAATATGTGACTGAATTTAGATTGTAACCACTTCTAAATGTCTTGTATTTGACTTATAAAGAATGTTTACTTTATAAAGAAATGTTACAGTTTAAAATCTGTGGCATTTGCTGTTTTCAGATAAAGCAAACTCAGGATGAAGAAAAGAAGCAGCTGACTGCTCTGCGAGATTTGATCAAGTCCTCCCTCCAGTTGGACCAGAAAGAGGTATGCAGGTCACCTCTTCACCCATAGGGGCAAACTGAAACCAAACTCTGAACAGAGTGGCTATGTGGAACCTAAAAACAGCCACTACAGCTTTGATCCAGCGTTTGGTTTCACCACTGAAGCCGGGCATACACTGCAATTTTTTTCAGTCGTTGCACACAGCTAATTCTCAAACTGTACGACTAAACTGCAGGGTTAAGTCGTACAGTGTGAGTTCACAGCTCACAATTTATGATCGGCTCGACGCTCTCATGCGATCTACCTGCTCTCACTGTACGACTAAAAACCACGTTGCACTGAGCTCCGCCGTGTGATGGAGCTGCTCTGTAGCTCTTTATACTGAAGCCAAACAAATAGAAGGGGGATATGGAGCTCTCTATAGTGAATGCGCTGCCTTGGAGATTTGTGCAATTTTGTACTGAAAGCCCTAAACAGAAAAGGTGACGACATATTTGGAAAAAAAGACATGGCTGAGCAAACGTGGCTACTACGGTCTGTCAATTTTACAGACAGAAAGCTGCTGTGTTTACATCTGAGAGGAAGAATAAAAAGAAGAATCCTTGTTTGCGCATGCGCACGGAGTGATTTGCCCACGACAGTCGGGAGAAAATCAAACATGTTTGATATTCTCCCGACCTCACGATTCCTGATCGAGAGGTGATCGTGAGAGGCTGATCGCCCCTCGTAACCCCCCGTAAGCTACAGCACTCACGACGCATGATCAATCTAAAGATTCTCGCACAACTGGAAAATCGTACAGTGTACGCCTGGCTTTACTTTCCCTCACTCTGGCCACCACCTTATTGGAGTTCATCGGTAGCACCCAGCGAGTGCCTAGTGCTGTACCATGCTGGTAGCCAGTGTGCTGAAGGCAGGACTGGGGACCGTTGTTGTGCCCTACTGGCTATTTTCACACTTTTAAATCATACCTCACAGCATGGGCTGTTTCTACACATTTAACCCACTCAAAAGCATGAAGGGATGTATAGACAATTGTTTGAGTCACACCTTCTATAAGTTTTTACAAGTTGACACCTTGAACTCTGGAGAAGAACACATGTTCACCCACTACCTTCACTCGAGCCAAATTTTTCACACCTCTCCCTTCTATCTCCCCCTTTTTACTGCTTTCTGCTTGTCTGGAATCAAGTCTAGAAGAGTAAGTTTGAGCATGCTGTGGTTTGACTGTGCAGGGGTGTTGCAGAGCATGCTGTTTACCGTTGTCGTTAGCAGCCATTCTATAAAAAGTGGTTTCCTTTTTTTTAATAAGATTCCCTTGTGAATACATAAGTAGCATGTTTGAGTCTTTCTTTATTGCATGACTTGATCATCATGTCCAAAAAGTGCTTTTTATTAAATGTTTGTGCATATTTGTTGTACGGTTTTACACAGGACTCACAGAGTAAGCAAGGTGGCTACAGCATGCATCAGCTGCAGGGAAACAAAGAGTTTGGCAGTGAGAAGAAAGGGTACCTGCTGAAGAAGAGTGACGGGTAAGCTGCAAACAATACACCACTGAAATATAAAGGACAGGCAGAGAATATACATGATAACCCATCTACATGGGACGTTCTCTCACAGATTGAGGAAGGTGTGGCAAAGGAGGCAGTGCTCAGTGAAGGGAGGCATCCTCACCATCTCTCATGCCACAGTGAGTAGACAGACAAACACACACCCGACTAGAACCGTGTGGACTCACTTAACCCCTCAGGAGTGATAGTGCAGCTCAGAAGGAGAACAATGTGCACTCTGAGGGTGTGTAGGGCTTTTCCAATCTGGAGGCTGGCACAGTCACATTGACATAGATGGGTTGCCATGGAAACCCCCCACCCTCTGATTCCACCCATCTGCATCCCTCCTTCTGCTGCGCTGGGGTGACTCATCCCTGATCGAGTGCATACTGTTTAAACTGGCACATCTTGAGATTGCTTGTATAGTTCAGCCTGGTTTTTCCTCTAACATGAAAGCTACTAGGGACTATTTATTTTGCAAAAACACAAATGTATCAAACTATGTCCGGTCAATTTAGACATTTTTTGAGAGGTCTTAAGCAAATAATGATGCTTACTGATGGTTTTATAAATTGACAAAACTTTAAAATTGACAGGACATTCATTTTATTACTGCTATATATAAACTACAAGTGTGGAAGAGAGCCTTGGCAGTTTTGCAGAGTGGGTTAAACCTAGCTAACATAGCCAAAAGGAGAGGGAAAACTAGTTAAAATAGCTAAGCATGTTTAAAAAAATTAGTCGACCGACCAAAGAGTTAGAGAAAACCTAACTAGCATAGCCCAAAGTAGAATTACAACTCCCTAAAAAAGCAAATATTTGGAAAAGATTTAGCCAAAGCAACGGAGAGTAGAAGAAAACCTAGTTAACAAATTTACGAATTTGAGAAAACCTAGCTAACCTACCCCAAAGTGGAATTAAAACTAGCCAAGAATAAGATAAGAATGACCCAACGTAGCAAAGAGTAGGAGAAAACCTAGCTAACATACTTAAAAATGGGAAAAAACCTACCTATCCTAGCCCAAAGTGGAATTAAAGTTAGCTTACACAGCCAACCATAGGAGAAAGATTATCTAATACAGCAAAAAGGAGGGTGGCCGGCCTAGTGGTTAGGGCATAGAGCTTGGAATCCTGAGGTTCTGAGTTTGAGCCCTACACCCACAGACTGCCACTCTGGGTCTCTGAGCAAGACCCTAAACCCCACACTGCTCCGCGGGCGCCGCACAATGGCAGCCCACTGCTTCCCAAGGGGATGGATTAAATACAGAGGTAAATTTCTCCAATGTGAGATTAATAAAGTTCAGTTATTACTATTTTTTATTTTTAAAGACAGAGAGAAAGCCCAACTAACCTAGCCCAAAGGGGACTTAAAACTACCCGGAATAGGAGTAGAATGATCCAACACAGCAAAGAGTGGGAGAAAACCTAGCTTACCTAGCTAAGAGTAACTGGGTGAAAAACTAGTTAAAAGCAGGACAAAAAAACCCTCCAGTAACCTTTTCATTACCTATATTTAATACCATTTATGTTTATCAATTGATGAATAGTTTTGATTAAGGACCTAACGAAAATGCCATCCTTAATTTGATATTATCCTGGTGTTATGTTAAACATTATAAGATTTTAAATGTTTACAGTAAAAATAGGAAAAACACTTTGTACCAGATGCATTTTAAAAAACCCACTGTATCTCATATTTATATGTATTTTCCTGGGGTTGAATTGTGAGGTTTCTCTACTGAACTGACTGATGTTGATGCTGTTAAGCCAGCATTTTATAGCAGCTGTTTCACAGCACGTAGGGGTAAGCTTTGTCTAAGTGTAATCATCTTAGCTCTTGTTCACTTAGAGTTTTTTTTTAAGCGTTAAGTAGAAAATTTTATTTACAACTGCTGTCTCACACCTCTTTTCTTATGTGGCACGTGTAGTCAACAGAAGCCAATGACCTTTAAGTAAAAGAAAAGCCTTTCTGTGTTGGTCTGTTGTGCTGTTAGATTACATCTCAGACAGTTTTTGTGGTAGTCAATATTAAACCTTAGAATCTGTCTTAATTTGACATCAGTTTTTCCGGCTCTGTGTTTTTTTCTTTATTTGAACTCATGGTGACTTTAGTTGAGGGCAGGCCAGCTTGGCTTTGAAGCACAGCTCAGCCTGTTAGCAATTCATTACCACGTGTCCTAGTGTATTCTTTGCCCGGACGCTGGCAGGAGACTATGCTTGGTCTGCTCATGCCAAATAGGTGTTTAATTACTGCATAGTAAAACCCAGATCCTAATCTTTTAATTAACTAACATTTTGAAGCTTAATTTGCAGGGAAAATGGTTAAATGTGTTTAAGCATCTGTCTGCAACCAATATACAAATAAGTAATCAATTATTAAGCTCTATCCTCTTTCTTTCAAGGTTGTTTCTAACATTTTATAGCAGCACTCATTTTTTTGTGTGCATGTAATCTGCAGTAGAATATCTCTTTATTAAATGTTGGATTACAGGACGCCTTGGCAAAATACCAAGAATTGAGGGTGGAGAGTAACAAAATTACTAACTGAAGTGTTTTAAACTGTTTGGTTCATCATACGATCTTTAACATTTTTTTCATTTCCAGTCCAACAGGCAGCCTGTCAAACTCAACCTGCTCACCTGCCAGGTGAAGCCAAGCTCTGAAGACAGGAAATGCTTCGACCTGATTTCACGTAAGTTTTACAGAAACATCTATGTTGATGCTTACCTGAACAGTTCTGATAAGAAGCCGATAGACATTTGTTAATTATTGCCAAGATATTTTAAATAGGAAGGAAATTGTTATAAATGTTTTCAGACTTGCAAAGCAATTGGAATTTTCCTGCTGAAAATTAACTTTTTGAGTCATAAGGAAGTTCAAGAGCATATCATTGAAACTAACTTAAAACCTTGAATGGCAAATAAGGGTGTGAAAACAGAACATACACCTTATTTGACCTTTTTCTCACTCTCTTGTCATGTGTCTTTAACACTCAAACGTCAGCCTGCTGCTGCTCATTGTTTCATAAAATGCAAAACAATTGCTTTGCATGCTCAACATCCTGGTCTGTTCTCTCTTCAGATAACAGGACATATCACTTCCAAGCTGAAGATGAACAAGAGTTTGTCATGTGAGTATTTTCAAACTCAGGATGAAGAAAAGAAGCATCAATGGCCATCATGTGAGGGAACCCCCACATGATGGCCATTCTGCTTATTAACCAGGGTTTAGACCAACTTTTAATGGGGAAACTGTATATTCAACCTTTTAATGACTTTTTCTATTTAAAAATGATTCATAACTGAAAAGGAATCTTTTGCAAATTTGTACTCTAAGGTATACCATAGGAATCAAATAAGACCTAGCATAGTTGCATTAGGGTTGCTTGAAATAAAACAACTCAGATGTAACAGATATCCAAGAGGCAGGAACTGGTGAGCTTTTAGTTTCCACATCGACACATACTGAAAAACTAAAATGCTTCACACCTCAACATCCCTTCCTCTAGTTAGTATTTAAATGAACAGTTCTATTAATGTAGCCTCGACAAACAATCATTTTTTCATTTTTAACAGAATAAACAATTGGTCATTCTGCTCCCTAAAGTTAACATTGGAGAATGTATCTATACACAACCTATCACACTTGTCGCCTGTTCTTTTCAGTTCAATTCAGTTTATTTATATAGCACCAATTTACAACTCATGTCACCCCAAGGTACTTTACAGAGACAATTCAACTAGATCATACAGTCAGGTTGGTTTGAAGTGTTCTATCAGAAGATAAGCAGCTGATTGCATCAACTTGTTAACTTTAGTGCAATCCCTTACAAAGAGCTTGCATGCAGCGATAAAAAAAAGAAAAACAGTCCAAAAGAAGAAAAAAATGGATGTCCAAGAAATAGATTATGTCTGGAGAGATTATTGTTCACTATATTAGAAACACAAAACTGATCAAGTTGGTCCAATTTTAAAAGAAAATTCAATATGTTGCTGGAAGTTTTAGAGTGGCCTTAAAAGAAGGATGAAGTTCTAAGCCATGGGGTTGGAGGTAATAATAATAATAACAATAATAATAACTGTTATATATATTGTATTTACTGCTATGAATCTTAAAGTGCTAAAAAAGAAGTTGAAAGTTGAAAATGGAAACATTAAATGATTAGATATCGACTATAAAACCTGGAAAAATGATTCTATCAGCTCTTACATCTGGCAGGCAGTAGGAGCCAAATCTAGACTAAACACTCAACTCTGATTCATACTGTGCCTTGTTGCTGGAAAATAAAAGTCCTTCTTTCCTCAACATAGGTCAGCTTCAGTTGCGCATGTATCTTTTTTAAATTGTGCTGCAGCATCACAGTCTTAAAAATTTGATGATGTCTTATAAACATCCCCAGAATGAGCCTGGATGCCCTCCCACACTGTTTACCAAGCGTGTTTATACCATTGCTACAGCATTTTAACAGCTGCTAGCCAAATATTGCAGCAACAACCAAATAAAGGCTTGCTGATATGTGCTGGATGGCTAAAATTGAACCTCAAAGTGATGCAAAGGAAGTTCATAGAACTGGAGATTTCATTCCCAAATGGGTCAGTTGATCCTTTTAATATGAAATAGTAAAAAAAACAATAGTTATGACATTAAGGTTCAAGTGAGATACACCTTGCTGACTTAGCTGAACACTGTGGCTGTATCCGAACGTCCACCCTAACACCTAAATCTCTCGGTCAGAGCAAAGGCTATATGGTAGACTTTATAGTGAACACTACTTTTCACTACTTTTCGCTCCTCTGTGGTCATAGGACTCCGCCTCCCCACACGGTTCCTTCGCCATCTTTGTCATTTTGGTGCTGACAGCGGGCCGCTTTAACAATAAATCCCATAATGCTTTGTTAGGAGAGCTCTAGCAAAGCATTCCAGGATATATCTGCTTTTCTACTGACCATGGATAATTTCTACTTTTCAAGGTACATTGTGGGAAATTTCTAGACCACCACTTTTTCATCCACTGAGTGTTCAGACACTCGTCTAAAATGGCTTAACCACTATATAGTGCCCTATATAGTCAATAGGGTGGATGTTCGGACACAGCCTGTGTTTTCTACACCCTTCACCTCGATAAATACACACTTTTCAAACCAAGAGTCACACTGTAGAAGTGATGGGAGTTGATGTTCCTCTGAATATGATTTTAATTTCCTCAGAGATAGATCATATGATGCATTCAAAGACTGAATTCCTTGTGACCATAGCTTAGAAATGTGAGATCCACCCTTGCTTGTCTCCCTACAGACTTTTATTTGTAACAGCTTCCTCTGATCAAATGGCTGTGGTGTGTTTTATTTACCAACAGGAAGTCAACAGTTGTAGCTCAGACGATGTGTGTGTTGTCTTCATCTCTAGGTGTTGCAGCATTGAGCTTTATGGACAGACACCTTATGAAAACATAATTTTAAATCTTTTTTCTCTCCTCTGGGGTATTCTTCTTCTGATCATGTAGAACTTTGTTCCTGCTTTGTTGCGGTTCACCCTTCACTGTGCTGCTTAACGCGCCCTTTACGCCAAACATGGGGGCTGCATGTAGGGATTTTCATTGAAATACTCCTTATCCAATTTAGCTACTGTTGTGGATCCACCCAAAGCCTGCCGCTTATTGGAAGCATATTAAAATGCACATTATAAGATGGTGAGAAGAACTATTTGGCTCTGTGTCGCTACACCTACAGAGAAGTGGATTGAAATAGCCTGTTTTTCTCACACATACAGAGCTACTCTAATTTAATCCATTTTTGCCCACTCGATGGCTCTTCTTTACAGCTTTAAAGTAGTAATGGAGGGCAGTCTTATGAAGCCTTTCTGTATATATGTCGTAGTGCAAGTGGTGAAGGGTTAGTACGGTGCAGTGAGCTGTAGGCAGGCACGTTTCAAAGGCAGCTACAGTGTTTCCTGTCTGACTGATTGGTAGTGACCACAGTCCTACGTGGGTGTTTCTGTTTGAGTTAGTCAGCCTTGTTCTCATGGAAAATAACCCTGCAAGCAAAATAGGCTGTCACGAAGTTAGACTTTTGAATATCAAGATGAGTTGAAATAACTTTTAGCTCACAGTTGGAAAAAAATATCCTATTTCTTTTCAGACAATTTTATGCACTTTTTCCTTGTTTTTCAATAATAGATTTTCTAAATATCAGTATTAGGGGTGTCAATTGGAAAGAACTTGGCAAAGTACATGTATTCCTATAACCATTTTTTACCTTTAAGATCCTTTCAGCCTTATTTTTAATCAGTACCAATATCTAGCTTGAGATATCACGATATTGGTCATTTGAATCCATATAAATATTGTCAAATAAAATATTCATTCAGTTTATTTCTTACACCCCTATTAAATATCCTAGAAGATAATTTCACCTCTTCTGTTGCATTACAGCTGCATTACAACTACATATATATGTTTATGTGTGTGTATGTATGTGTTTAAATGGATTATTGACAGAATGACCTTAGTAGTAAAGTTCTGGTTGAATTGATCATTGGTGTAGTAACAGTGGTTGGTGGTGAAAAAAATAGTGTTTAGGTCGATATGATTATTTAGGTCATTTGAATTGTGCTCGTTATGTAGAAATAGTTTTGATACAAAAAAGTTTTATCCATAGTGTGAGATTGTTGTCAGATCTGCATGTGTTAGTGTGACCACCTTTTTTGTATTATTTTTTATTATCTAACTACATGGCTTGAAAATGCGAAAATCCTCCTACAAAACTCTTTGCTCCTCCTACTCATTGCAAATGCAATCTTGGTAGATCACTATGGGGCCAAAATTGTTGCTTTATTATTTACAAATGTGTGTGGAGAGTTGTGTATCTGTATCTCGATTTGTGCGTGTGCAGGGGGATTTGAATATGTGTAAATGAAACTGTAAATATGTGAGGAGATTTGTGGGTCTGTAAAACAATCTGAAAATGTGCAAAACTACTTGTGTGTGTGTAATCTGGTTTGCAAATGTGTAAAAAATCCACAAATCTGTATTCAGATCTACAAATATGTACTGAGGTTTACAAATCTCAGTACATATTTTTAGATCTGAATACAGATCTGTGGATTTTTTTACACATTTACAAATTTCAGTACATATTTGTAAATCTGAATACAGATCTGTGGATTTTTTACACATTTGCAAACCAGATTACACACACACAAGTAGTTTTGCACATTGCAGATTGTTTTACAGACAAACAAATCTCCTCACACATTTACAGTTTCATTTACACATTTTCAAATCCCCCTGCACAAGCACAAATCGAGATACAGATATACAACTCTCCACACACATTTGTAAATAATAAAGCAACAATTTTGGCCCCATTGATCACCTACAACAAGTCCGTTAATTGCATGTGCAGTATTTTTTATTGTGGAAGCAATAGTCCTTATTATTATGGATTTTAGTAGTTCGGGGCTATTGCATGGTGGATCGCTAACAATGCACATTATTATGGAAACATAATTCTCACTGTTACACATAAGGTTGTGCAGCATCATGCTGTGGGGATGTTTGCCTTTAGCAAGATGATGGGAAGATGAATTTAGCTGAATAGGTTTGAATTTATGTTTATCTTCTTAAAAAATTCACTATTTACGTATAACTCCTGTTTTGCAGATGGATCTCAGTGTTAACTAACAGCAAGGAGGAGGCTCTAAACATGGCTTTCCGAGGCGAGCAGAGCAGTGGCGGGGAAGACGGATTAGAGGACTTGACTAAAGCCATCATAGAAGACGTGCTGCGAATGCCAGGCAACGAGATCTGCTGCGACTGCGGCGCTGCAGGTCTGTGCTGCTGCTGCTGTCCTCAGAGACACAATTACACAGTGCTGAGTCAACCCTCACCTTGTCCAAAAGAAAAGGAGCCAGCCTCCCCTCAGATCAGTTTGCTTTAAATGTTTTATTTAAAGCCACCAGCAACTTTTGCCGTCTCACTGCTCGCTCTGTCCTCTCTCTGTGTCCAACTGCAAATCCCCCCTGCAGTCTTGAATAAACAAGAGTGTGAACATGTGCCCGCTAAAGCTGTTAGCATTCAAGACTCTACTCAAACCTGATCCTCCCCCTCCTTCTTTGCATGAGGAAGCAAAGAGTCAGCACTCAGGAGGCCTGTAGACATTCAGGCTTCTGACAGTTAACAGGCACATTACATGTGTGCATACACACAAATCCACACACGCTATCTGGATAAACACACAGCAGCTTTCTCACTAAAAGGCAGGATTCTGAGCTCTGAAGGGGAAAAAAAACATTTCAGGGCTTAGAGAGACAACATTACATCACTTTGTTACATAAGTCACACACGCCGTCGACCCCTGCGATCTGAGGGGAGGGGAGCTAATTTGTTACGCCTGTGCTTTTGTTTGCTGTCTCCATCAATACAAAAAGGTTTGGGTTTGTAAATGGTTTCAGTTGTGAACAGTCATTTTCTTAATAAAATTCAACCAAATGTTCCTTCTTTGTTTAAAGATTTGCAGCTAGCATCACACTTTGACTCTCAGAGGTCATGACTTTGCTTGTGAAGAAAGAGGTTCTCATTTAGGCAGATCTTTTTTCCAGGATCTCCCTGTGTGTGATTTGCAGCATCAGAGGTCACACCGCAGTGATGCGCTCATTATGCTCAACAAGCTCTTTGTGCCCTATAACCAGCTAGCATCTGGTCGTTGTGTTTATCTGTTCCTCTCTCTTGTTTCTCAGCTTTATCCGCTGTTTTTTGTTTTTGTTTTTCACTGCCCTCAGCCTGCTGCATGACTGAGGTCATAAACGTTGGAACTCTGTAAGATTTAAAGTAGTGAGTTAGGCCAGCGTTGCCGATCGATCCCAGCGATTTAAACGCTGCTACCCTTTGCTTGGTCATAGATTATATAATCGACTCCTTCTTTGTTGCAGGTCTTTATGCTAATGATGCTCCCCTCAATTAGCAGGTTCTTTAACTTTTCAGCTCCCAGCTCAGGAAATGATTTTGATACAGGACTGTGAGGCCAGACATCTGTACTTAAACTTTGCAGATTAACTGCAGTTGAAACAGAAAGATTCATGAAATGCTTATCCATTGCTAAAATCCTTTTTTTTCTTTTTGTAACTCATTCATGACAAAGTAAGCATCGTTTTAAACAATAATTCAACCTTCAGTCTGTCTTTTGGTCTATTCATTTATAAAAAAGGAAAAGAAAAGACCAAAAAACATTAAGATTGAACAACAATAAAATATTAATCTGACTGTGATGCAAACAAATTTATTGTGTTCCTGTTGGTCATCTGTTGATCCCCATTTTGCTGTTACTATCTCCACAGTATCAGTCTGTTTTTCTCCAATCAGAAACATGATATCTTGATGACATTTATTCTGCTTGATATTGATCTTTTTTTTTTATTTAGTATATTTTATTTTAGATTAAGTCATTATTTAGATAACTTCAAATTAGCATGGTTAGTGTGGGCAAAAATCTGTGTGTTTAAAAGGTTTTTTGCAGTGCTGGTTGTGCAATTCCAGCGCACGTAAAGATTACACAGCTGGAGGCATATTTACATATCCCACAACTCTGAGTCTGACTAATGGGGGAGGGCAAGGTTATAGATTATCCAAGATATATATATATTTTTTTCTTCTTTCAATTTAATGGATATGTAAGATGTCTGTGCTCTTAAACAATTTCAAAAATGAACATCCATTTTTTAATTGCTTGTGTGTAATCAAATTTAAATGGTTTGTTCAATTAGCATATACAGGTGCTGGTCATAAAATTAGAATATCATGAAAAAGTAGATTGATTTCAGTAATTCCATTTAAAAAGTGAAACTTGTATATTATATTCATACATTACATACAAACTCATATATTTCAGATGTTTATTTTGTTTAATTTTGATGATTACAAATGACAACAAATGAAAATCTGAAATTCATCATATCAGAAAATTAGATTATTACTGAAGACCAATAAAAACAAAGGATTTATAGAAATGTTGGCCAACTGAAAAGTATGAACATGAAAAGTATGAGCATGTACAGCACTCAGTATTTAGTTGGGCCTCCTTTGGCCTGTATTACTGCAGCAATGCGGCGTGGCATGGAGTCGATCAGTCTGTGGCACTGCTCAGGTGTTATGATAGCCCAGGTTGCTCTAATAGTGGCTTTTAGCTCTTCTGAATTGTTGGGTCTGGTGTATTGCATCTTCTTCTTCACAATACCCCATAGATTTTCTATGGGGTTAAGGTCAGGAGAGTTTGCTGGCCAATTAAGAACAGGGATACCATGGTCCTTCAACCAGGTACTGGTAGCTTTGGCACTGTGTGCAGGTGCCAAGTCCTGTTGGAAAATGAAATCTGCATCTCCAAAAAGTTGGTCAGCTGCAGGAAGCATGAAGTGCTCTAAAACTTCCTGGTATGTGGCTGCGTTGACCCTGGACCTCAGAAAACACAATGGACCAACACCAGCAGAGGACATGGCACCCCAAACCATCACTGACTGTGGAAACTTTACACTGGACTTCAAGCAACGTGGATGAAGTGCCTCTCTTCTTTTCCTCCAGACTCTGGGACCTTGATTTCCAAAGGAAATGCAAAATTTACTTTCATCAGAGAACATGACTTTGGACCACTCACCAGCAGTCCAGTCCTGTTTCTCTTTAGCCCAGGCAAGACGCTTCTGACGCTGTCTGTGGTTCAAGAGTGGCTTGACACAAGGAATGCGACAGCAGAAACCCATGTCTTTCATACGTCTGTGTGTGGTGGTTCTTGAAGCACTCACTCCAGCTGCAGTCCACTCTTTGTGAATCTCCCCCACATTTTTGAATGGGTTTTGTTTCACAATCCTCTCCAGGGTGCGGTTATCTCTCTTGCTTGTACACTTTTTTCGACCACATCTTTTCCTTCCCTTCGCCTCTCTATTAATGTGCTTGGACACTGAGCTCTGTGAACAGCCAGCCTCTTTAGCGATGACCTTTTGTGTCTTGCCCTCCTTGTGCAAGGTGTCGATGGTCGTCTTTTGGACAACTGTCAAGTCAGCAGTCTTCCCCATGATTGTGTAGCCTATAGAACTAGACTGAAAGACCATTTAAAGGCTTTTGCAGGTGGTTTGAGTTAATTAGCTGATTAGAGTGTGGCACCAGGGGCCATCAATTTTGAACCTTTTCACAATATTCTAATTTTCTGATATGATGAATTTGAGATTTTCATTTGTTGTCATTTGTAATCATCAAAATTAAACAAAATAAACATCTGAAATATATGAGTTTGTATGTAATGTATGAATATAATATACAAGTTTCACTTTTTAAATGGAATTACTGAAATCAATCTACTTTTTCATGATATTCTAATTTTATGACCAGCACCTGTATATGTCAGTTCAATATATGAATAAATTGCAGATGTAGGCCCAACTACGAGACATAGTAATTAAGAGAAAAGGAAAAGGGTTGCAGCCGTCCCCAGTGTTTAATAATTCAGGCTCTCCAATCAACTTGGACCTTCTACATTACTTTTTTCAGACACACATTCTCAGTGTGAATTTGACGTATTTTTCTTTTGGAGTTCTTATTATTTTCTGTCCAGTTTTTTCATTGCTTCTTTATTCAGATTTCATTACATATTCTTTACATATCAGGTTTTTCTGCCCAGTCTGATGTAACACCCTGGTCCCTGTCTGCAGAACCAAAGTGGCTGTCCACCAACCTGGGGATCCTCACCTGCATCGAATGCTCTGGGATCCACAGAGAGATGGGGGTCCACATTTCCCGCATCCAGTCCATGGAGCTGGACAAGTTGGGAACCTCAGAACTATTGGTACGTCACTAACGAATGAGTAGCTCCCCATCTATGGATCACGTGTGTCTTGCCTAATGTTGGACAGGCTAAAGACTGATCCTGTAACAGAATTTGACTCCATCTTTCTCTTTGTTTCAGCTGGCAAAGAATGTAGGGAACAGTAGCTTCAATGAGATCATGGAAGCAAACCTTTCCTCCCCTTCACCAAAGCCCAACCCCTCAAGTGACATGTAAGTACTTCCCAACCAAATGTCCACCTTTATAAAAATAAAATAAAAATTGGGAAAAAAAACGTTGCCGTCAGGACGGTGAGGAAAGAGTTTATCAACGCTAAGTATGTGGACCACAAGTATGCCAGGAAGACGTGCACGTCAGCAGCGGCTAAGATGATCGAGCTGTTTGAGGCCATCCAGACGCGGGACCTGCTGGCTCTCATTCAGGTCTACGCCGAGGGGGTGGAGCTAATGGAGCCTCTGCCGGAGGCGGGACCGGTGAGTGGAACCAAAGAATGTCGGAGTGTTGTCCAGAGAGTTTGATGTTGGGGCTCCTGTTTAGTATTATGACTTTATGCTCCCTGCCTACTGACATTTATCCATTCATCCATCTTCTGTCATGCTTAATCCCAAGCGGGGTCGTGAGGGGTGTTGTTGCCTATCTCCAGCTCTCTATGGGCGAGAGGCGGGGTACACCCTGGACAGGTCACCAGTCCATCGCAGGGCAACACAGAGACAAACAGGACAAATAACCTTTCGCGCACGCACTCTCACCTAATGGGAATTTAGAGAAGCCAATTAACATAACAGTCATATTTATGGACTGTACAAATGTTGGATCTACCTTTTTATACCCTGTCTTTGGATTCTCCAATCAATGCCATTTTTACCAAGTCTCCTTCATCACTAGAGTTCAGACACTGAGGCGAGGGACGCCCGTGGCATTTTAAATGACTCTTTTCCTTTTGTGACCTCCAACGTGAGTTGTTGATGGATTCCTGGAGTAATTTTGACGGGTTGATCATTTAAGACACATGGCTTTAATTGCAGTTCTAACTGACTTAAGACCCAAAGCCATAGAAGTGTCTTTGTTACCCTTTCCTCAATGATAAACACCATGAATTTGCTTCTCAATTGTAGGGATTATGCATTGCTTTTTAGATCCTTTACCCTACTTCATGTTTTCAGAAAGGTTCTCTTTAAGGAATTTCTTGACTCTTCATGTTAAGGTTAATCAGGCTGGGACTTTTAGAAAGATTAAGGTAAAACATGTGGTAGTCAGAGTCATTTCAGATTTAGTAGGAATTGTCCATTATTATTTACAATTGCAATATTCATTTGAATGTCGAATTTTGTGCCTAATAATGTACTTTGTCTGACATCTACTTAAGCTTGATGATCTAAAGTATTTAGGTGCGTCTTATATACACTATATTGCCAAAAGTATTTGCTCACCCATCCAAATTATTGGAATCAGGTGTTCCAATCACTTCCATGGCCACAGGTGTATAAATTCAAGCACATAGGCATGCAGACTGTTTTTACAAACATTTGTGAAAGAATGGGTCGCTCTCAGGAGCTCAGTGAATTCCAGCGTGGAACTGTGATAGGATGCCACCTGTGCAACAAATCCAGTCGTGAAATTTCCTCGCTCCTAAATATTCCACAGTCAACTGTCAGCTGTATTATAAGAAAATGGAAGTGTTTGGGAACGACAGCAACTCAGCCACGAAGTGGTAGGCCACGTAAACTGACGGAGCGGGGTCAGCGGATGCTGACGCGCATAGTGCGAAGAGGTCGCCAACTTTCTGCAGAGTCAATCACTACAGACCTCCAAACTTCATGTGGCCTTCAGATTAGCTCAAGAACAGTGCGCAGAGAGCTTCATGGAATGGGTTTCCATGGTCGAGCAGCTGCATCCAAGCCATACATCACCAAGTGCAATGCAAAGCGTCGGATGCGGTGGTGTAAAGCACGCCGCCACTGGACTCTAGAGCAGTGGAGACGCGTTCTCTGGAGTGACGAATCGCGCTTCTCCATCTGGCAATCTGATGGACGGGTCTGGGTTTGGCGGTTGCCAGGAGAACGGTACTTGTCTGACTGCATTGTGCCAAGTGTAAAGTTTGGTGGAGGGGGGATTATGGTGTGGGGTTGTTTTTCAGGAGCTGGGCTTGGCCCCTTAGTTCCAGTGAAAGGAACTCTGAATGCTTCAGCATCCCAAGACATTTTGGACAATTCCATGCTCCCAACTTTGTGGGAACAGTTTGGAGCTGGCCCCTTCCTCTTCCAACATGACTGTGCACCAGTGCACAAAGCAAGGTCCATAAAGACATGGATGACAGAGTCTGGTGTGGATGAACTTGACTGGCCTGCACAGAGTCCTGACCTCAACCCGATAGAACACCTTTGGGATGAATTAGAGCGGAGACTGAGAGCCAGGCCTTCTCGTCCAACATCAGTGTGCGACCTCACAAATGCGCTTCTGGAAGAATGGTCAAAAATTCCCATAAACACACTCCTAAACCTTGTGGACAGCCTTCCCAGAAGAGTTGAAGCTGTTCTAGCTGCAAAGGGTGGACCGACGTCATATTGAACCCTATGGATTAGGAACGGGATGTCACTTAAGCTCATATGTGAGTCAAGGCAGGTGAGCAAATACTTTTGGCAATATAGTGTATACATGAAACTGAAAAAACTGGGGAATACTTTTTCAATAAAAGCAGATTATTAAAATTCTGTTTTTTTCCAAAGAGCTTGCCTAAATAATAGTCTTTGTGGACAGAAATTGGACCAAAAGATGTTTTTATTCAACTTCCCTTTAATTAAAACTAGGAATATAGTTATGTGAAGATTAGAGCTTCTTGACATCATATTTAAAGAAGCTTGTTTTTCTTTTTGTGCTGTTTTACTTTACTTTGAAACAACTGGTGTGTAGGAACCCTCACTTTAAATTGGATTTGGAGGAATGGTAGGTTATTAAGCTGGGTGTTGCTGTCTTATGAATTGCGCTACAAGACCATGTAGACTTAAGAGATGAACCGTTGTTAGGTCTAAAGCTAAAATCTAACCAATTAAAATGTCTAAGACAGTCTAAAGGTCATATATCATGCCTTTTGTAAGCTTTTCAAAGTCATCTAAAGATGATATGATGAAATAATGTCAAGGGTATTCATTTTTTATTTAATATGGTTTTAGTAGTTTTTGGCCTCGGGTAGGGGTGTAAATAATAATCGTTTTGTATCAATGCATCGATCCAACAGCCGACTATCCGATGCATCGACATGTCCGCAAGAGTATCAATTCTTTTTTTCTTTTTTTTCCCTCCGGTCTATTTTCATCCATTTGCTCCTGTTCGTAATTTCTGACTCCTGTGCTTTGGTGGCGCTAAACCTATTTTGCCCTCCTACCTCGCTACCACTACAGTCTTTCTTGCACACACACACCTGCATAAACAGTGGGAAAGACAGACATGACGGAGGAAAAAGGTGACTTACACACCCCTTGCGGGTTCAAGTCATTTGTGTGGAAGCATTTCCGGGTGTATTCTTGAGTATTGAAAATAATCGAATCGTTGGGTCAGGAAGTCGATACTGAATCGAATCGCCATGATGGGTGTGATTTACACCCCTAGCCTCGGGAGATCCCCAAACCTTGTGCAGCCTTTAAAAGTTATGTGTGAATGCAACAACGTCATTAAATGGATGGCATCCAGAAGAGAGAGGCTTCTTGACTTTTTCTTCGGGTTGAGCAAAACAACATTAACTAAAAAAGAAAAGATTAGTTGGTAAAGGAGCCTTTTTGGCTCAACATTGACCCAGAAGAAAATGCGCTCTGCTTCACATCTCCTCTCCCTGATGAGAGAACCTGGACGATTGTTTATGGTGCAGGCGCAGTGCGGTCAAAGTAGATGCTTCCAGGAGAGGGCCTTCTTAGGTATACAAATCTCAAAACAAATTTTCCCAACAATGGTAAAAACATCTTTCTAAGTTGTTCAGGATTTAAATAAAAATGTTGAAATGTTAAAAGAACACTTTAAAAAGGTCCACAAAAATACTAAAATAACCTAACCCTAACTATTCAACAAATGCCCTTTCGTAGTAAATAGAAGAAATAATGTAGGTCATTTCTCAAAATGCTGGTCCTGATAACGTCTCCCTTTAGCTGTTTATTTCGAACACATCAATGCAATTGAGAATTCTGTTTGTTTTAGGCGAGGTCTGTTATTGGACGGTGTCTGGTGAATGTTTTAGGATCACTTAAAGGTAAGGTTTAGCAATTTGTTGCCAGTATCAAACACGGAGGTGGCTGCATTATGAGATTCTGCTCTGCTGCCGATGACTCTTGTGCATTGTAAAAACTGCATAAAACAATAAAGTATGGCTAGCTTTGATTGGTTTAAAGAGAGGGAAAAATCCCTACAGAGCCAGAAAAAAATCATCCCTTCCAAGTCCGACGATCATTATTTTGACCTTATTTATGCTTCCATCGTTCACTCAGTAAATATCCAACAATATTTCCACCTAAGGCTGCAAACTCTGCAGATCTAAGATTGTTTCATCATTAAGTGAAGTCAGAAAAACCCAACAATGACACATTTTTACCAACGCCTGGATAGAAATGGGTGTAAACGGCTGGAAAAAAGTCTGAGTCATCTGAATAACTAACAGCAGGTGCTGCAAAGCCTCGGCCACTTGGATCTGTAACATCTGTTTCGATTGCTTTATTTCCTTAGATGGTGACACATGTGGGAACTTTGTTCAATCGTCTGTTTTTCTTTAAATCATTTTGCTGCACTGGCCTGTGTTCTCCTGTTTGCTCGCCTTTTGCGAAGCCTCTTTGGGCATCGGATGGAAATGAAACATTGCCACACGTGATGGGATTTAATCCGACTTAAATGGGTCAGCGTTTTACAAAGCTATAATGGTAGTTTCTCTGATAGAAAAAATGAAAATTAGGTGTGCAACGGTGCAGCAGAGTAACAAGGATAATAGAGGATCTCATCCGGTGACGAAGAGGAGGAGGAGGGAGGGAGCCGCCGCTGCTGCTGCTGCTGTCATCTGCACTGTGAAGTCTGAGTCACCACTATCTGATCTGCTGCTGTCAGTAACTCCAACTGCAGCACAGCAAGATTCAAACCTTTAGGAATGCAAGACATAAAAACGCCTTACACAACATAGAAATATTTATTTTATCTATCGCCCTTTGTGCTTCTGAATCTATTATGAGGCAGTCTTTAACGACAATGGGATCAATACGGCAGATTTGTGATTTTTGGGAGCCATTTTGTTTACTGCAGTTTGTTTAAATGCTGAAATAAGCTCACACACACACTCACTCACACACACACAGTACAGAATACAGAATGGATGCTGGCCGTTGCTTCATTGTGACTCTGCTGTGTTTGGTGGCCCCCTGCAGGAAGCCGGAGAGACTGCCCTGCACTACGCCGTACGGACTGCAGACCAGACCTCACTGCATTTGGTGGACTTCCTTGTGCAGAACAGGTATCTTTAAGAGCCCTTGAAGGCTTACGTGTGGGGATTGGATTGTCTCTGTAGGAGGAGTGGAGCCATAAGAAGAAAAGCATGTACAAATCATATTTTCTGCAGCAGCAAATTTCATCAGTGTCTCTTGTTTTTTTTTTTTTTCGCTCTCTGTCTGCAATAAAGCAGTGAAGAGCAGAGGTAGGCTTAGTGCTGCTCTGCTCAGATTCCCACAAGGCAAACAGAAATGGGTCAAGCTCTCGCTCTCTGCCTTAATTTATTCCTTTTTTCCCCTCCAACTGTTTATATCCCCCAATGCTCCAAAGGCCTCCACAGTTGAAACGTGTTAAATAACATCCTCCCTTATTAAATTTGATGCTTAAAATGGCTATTTACAATAATATTTGTCCAGTACAATCATATATCAAGCAGAAGAGATGAGAGGAATCTGACTGAGTCTCTTCTCTGCAGCGGTAACCTGGATAAGCAGACGGAGTGGGGGAACACCGCCCTGCATTATTGCTGCATGTACGAAAAGCCTGAGTGCCTCAAGTTACTCCTGAGAGGCAAACCGGCCACCGACATCAGTGAGTCACCCTCGTCATCGTCTTCGTCCTCTTGTTCTTGTTGCCTGCACAAGCCTCAAAGTGTTGACCGTTTTCCATCTCTCCCTCCTGCTTCCCTTCCTCAGCCAATCAGAATGGAGAGACGGCCCTGGATGTTGCCAGGCGACTGAGGAACACTCAGTGCGAGGAGGCAGTAAGTGCAGGACGGAGCAGCTGGATATGCTGAACAACAGAGCGCAAAACAAACCCTCCTGTTAAATCTATGAAAACGCACAGAGAACAGCAGCATGAGGCGGGTTAAAGTGGAGGTTTCTGGAGCTAAAAATCAACCAGATAGAATCGATGCAGAGCAGATAGTGAGGTGTTCAATCATAACACTAGATGGCAGTGTTGATTCTGTGTTCAGCCTTTGGGCGACTGGGACAGCAGAGTGGAAGTAACTGGGAATGTGTTTGTTATTAATGCAGATATGAACAAGAAGACAAACGGACCATAATATACCCACTGTGGAATCTCTAATATATCTAATAATATTTTAATATTTAAGCTTTAGACAGCCTTTTTTTTTTTTTTTACCTTGCCACCTCCTATGAACAAAATAGACATGAACATTATTCTCATCCATCAGATTTTCCTCTTTTTGTTACAACAGAACGTAATGTGTTCTGTTTGGATTTTATATGATAAACAGGCAGAACTGGGACCAAAAAAAGGTTCCTTTTAATTTGGTAATGGTGGCCCACTCTGATTAGTAATGCGACACGTGGAGACACACAGCATACCTGAGGATATATCTCCACATTTATGAAGGATGAAAATCATACACAGAGATCAGCATTCTGCTCTCTCTACAGGAAAATCTATTAAATGGTAGCTAATTCTATCTTCTTCTGGCACAGCGATTTTATGGAAATATGTTTCTATTAGTGCATGCTAGGAGCCTATTTCATCTCTATGCCTTAGCCTATCAGTATTTTATGACAGGGAAATGTCTCCTAGTGTGGCCTATAAATAGGGTTCTCATAACTCTATTAGTTCTGCCTGTGCTAACATTCATTCATTTATTGCAAATAAATGAATGCAAATATATATTTAGATGAAATTATGACGGCCTTGGACTGGCCTGGAAATGGCCCAATGGGTATTGCCTGACAGCCAATCCAGACCTGTGCACAGGCACACAGTAGTGCATGGTTGTCCCCTTATCTCTAAATTAGTAAATAGGCTACAACTATTAGCTTAAAACCCTACAAATCATGCCTTTATGAAAGAGAGAGCCAATTATTTTTAAGAAGCTGCAAACCATTTAGTAGCAGGTGAAAGAGGATGCTATGGGCATAACTGTTTGGTTTTACTTTTACAGGACAGAGTTAAATGAACAATGGACTGAGGTTAATACAGAACCTGTCAGGGGCTGCAGAAGATTTAAAGCCGTAGCAAACGTTCACTTTCCAGCAGAAATGCAACTCTAAATACAAATCCAGAGCTATAATAGAAGGATCTAGATCAGGGGTCTGCAACCTGCAGCTCCAGAGCTGCAAGAGGCTTTTAGGACCCTCTACAATGGCTCTTAATAGTGGCTAAAGTTGAGCCAACTAATAGGTTTTAATATAGTTTATTAATAATTAACAATCTTTTTTAGCAGGTTTTTTTTTAGATTTGAATTCAATTTTCATTACAGAATGACATTAAACAATTAGAAAAATATGTTTTTAGATTTATATTTCTTGTCATTAGCTTGGAAACTGTTTTATTTTTTCACATTAAATAATATCCTGTAGAATAAAATCTAAAATCAATGCTCCTTCTTTATAAAAGTTTAATGTTTTGTCCTTTCAAAAACTAAAAGCAGCAAATAAACTGTTTTTCAAGATGGCTAGATATTTTCTATTGTAAATATTCAACAAAAATGTTAAGTTGTGTTTCATTTAAAGGCCATATAATATTCTGAAGAACTATTTTTAAGCCAGGCTTGAGATTAAATGGCTCTTTAGTTTAGAAAGGTGGCAGACCTCTGGTCTAGATCAAAGCAAATGTGTGTGTCTAAATGACCTAGTTAAAGTCCGCATCTTGATGCAGTTAGGAATCTGTAGGAAAGGCAGCATCTTCAGCTTCTATATTTACAAAGCTGGTAGTGACCATCAAAGGACTTCCAGCTGTAATCGAAGGAGTACGTCTTGGAAGTATCGACTCTGTAGACCACACCTTTTAGGTTTTGTAGTTGCCAAAAACTTTTAAAAATCAGGCGTTTTGGTTTCCACTTGTTACATCCCCTTTCAGCAAAGGAGGCGCAGCATTAGATCAGAACTAATGGGTTCAAAGAGCAAAGTGGTTCAAAGAGATTTTAATTTTCTTTTCTATAATAGAAATGTAAAAAATCAAAGACTGAGTCAAATTAAATCAAACAAATTTATATTTTCTGATCTAGATTCCCCACTTTGACTCTTAAAGTCCTAATATCTCCTCACAGTTAGGCTCTACTTTGTTGGTCTATAACAGAAATCCGACTTAAATACAATAAAGTCAGCATATTTATGAACAAAGTGTGCATTTAAGGTGGTATGGCAGCCTTTGACCTCCCATGACCTCTCATGTCTGATATTTCTGAATATAAGCAGGGTTGAAGGTGAAGCAACTAGATTTGTTTTTCCGCCTGTTTCAGCTTGTTCAGGCCGCAGAGGGGAAGTTCAACCCTCACATCCACGTGGAGTACGAGTGGAGCCTGCGACTGGAGGAGATGGATGAGAGCGACGACGACCTTGATGATAAGGTGATGACCCAGGCAGGCTTGTTTTCTGGGAGTTTCATGGTTTGATGAACCTTTAATATGGAAGAAGTCCTTCATGTTACGAAATAATTAATTTGTTTAGAAGATGTTTACAGTATAAAAACAATTGTACGAGTTTTGTTCATTCGTTTTGGACATAACGAGTGCTGCAGGTTGCTGATCTATCTCCCTACGGCCGTGTCCATCTCCAGCCCAGTCCCATCAAGAAGGACCGCTCTCCGAGGCCTCAGAGCTTCTGCCACTCCTCCAGCCTGTCCCCCCATGACAAGCTCTCCCTGCCTGGCTTCATCAGCCAGAGGGACAAGCAGCAGCGCCTCTCCTACAGCGCATTCACCAACCAGATGTACAGCGCCTCCACCGACCTCAGCTCCTCCCCCGTGGCCGACGGGCCGCCGCTGCCACCCAGGAACCAGGGCAAAGGTCAGACATGCCGGCTCCGAGGGGCTGAACTGAAGGGTCTCAATTTTATCTGCTTTCTGAAATTCAAACTCTAGATCTGCTGGTATCGCGTTTGCAAAATGTGAGCTTGTAATCCACTGTGGTGTTAAAGGTTGTGTGTCCCAAGCCGTGTAGGGATTATAATTCCAGAGAAGACCCGAACATGAATGGATTCATAATCTCTGTTAATATTTGATTATACATCAGAGCAGAATTAGGTGCAGCTTTAGTGTGAAGTTTCCGCTTTGTGCCATCAACATACACATGCACACACACCCTGCAGTGGTATGTGGTTTGTCAGCACACAGATCAGAGGGCGGAAAGCAGGTGTCATTAGGATTACTTATAAAGTAAACTTGAAGGAAAACACCGCCTCAGGCAGAGGCAGCCTGATGAACGTTAGTCGGGCATCAGGTGAAAGAAAGGGACGCTGGAAACACACTTAGTCCAATTATTTCACTATGCTGTCTCTGCACTATTACAGTTAGAAATAACACTCCTGCCTCCCTAACATCAGCTATCTCAGTAACACCCCACAGCTAAAAATGCTGCTCTGGCAAACTTTGCTACATCCATCGCAAGAGGCCATTTAATTAGTTATTTCAGCCAAGTTAGAAGCGACCTTTAACTTGGCTTCTGGTTGTAGTTACTACAATTGTCAACACATTTATTGTAGCTTCCCATATATGCATAGGTGTGGCAGCTTTTATATAAATATTTCCTTAGACCAGACTTTTTTATTTTATTTCCACCATTAAAATCAAGGCTGCCAAAAGATTTATAAATATATGTCTAGAAAAATCTATTTTTTCTTCCTTTTTACTGATTTTCTGTTGTTTAATTACTGAGCAAGATATATTACAAAGAACAAATAAGAAAAAATCAAATTCTTTGGCCCTGTTAAATACTTTAAACTTTACAAGTTTTGCATTTGTGGCAAAACCTGTGGACACCATTGATTTACTTGCTGACAAAGCAAACAGCTAGTGGCTGTTTTACAGCATTATATATGAAATAGACAGTTTTTAAACCTCCAAATAAATAACAAACTCAATAACTTGGAGTCTTTGGCATCTTTGGTTAAAATGAAAAAAAAATGTGTGTATTCTACACTCAAAACGTTCACACTGAAGAGTTTAGCCAATAAATTGATCTGGTAGCATTTACCAACAGTGTTTCTGCTAATCTGAGAAGATTTTTTAGACCAGCCAGGCTGAAAAATGTCAGATTTTGACCAACTTCTTCAGCTTATGGACAGATTGACAATCTGAGCAGGCGCCATATTAGATCACATTTAACCAGATGAAGCCTGAGTCTTATCCTGATATGAAAGAAATATTAACTTTACGATTGAGCTTGAACAACCTTCAGTGGAGATTCAGAAAGCAAAACAGGAGCCGTTAAAAAAAAAAGTTGCAGTGTTTTAATTGTTAAAGTCGAATGCTTTTCATTTCTAATTCTCTCAAACAGGGAGATCAGATCTTCTTTTTCTTTTTAGCATTTTCTTTACCATTCTAGCATTTCTAAGTGCTTCTAAAACATCTTAGCATCTGGGATTGAACTCAGCTCAGTCTGTTTGAGTGTGAATTTGCTAAACTCTAATAAACAGCTGAAGTGAGCTGCTAATGTTGGCCTGAAATCTAATCTTAGTGTTGGCTGTCTAACAGTGGACGTTCCAGCCTTGAACTGACCTCTTTTTCAAGTAAAGCAGGCTGAGGTGTGCTTTAAATTTACTCACAGCTCTATGCATGTTGGAAAGGAAATTAGTTCTTCTGGTTTTCAGTTTCAACTACTGAACTTTTCCACATTTTGTCCCGGTGTAACCACAGACTTCACTTTATTTCAGAACTTTTAATATTTTAACCAAAAAGTGCATTGTAATTGTGAGATCGAGAGAAAAGGATACCAACTGCTGCTGCAGTTACAGTTTTCTGTCTGTAGGGGGTGCTATCTTTAGGAGCATTTATGGGGCAGGAGGTTTGAACCCATTCTTTAGAAAATAGCTAATTTTCATAATAATTTCCATGCATATTTTTCCACATAGGTTTGTCCTAGCTCAAACTCTTAGATGGCTTTAGTTCTTGACTTTGACTAGGCCGGTGCAGCACATTGTGACAGTGAATCTCTGGCTTTATGAGGACTGCTGGACAGAGTTCAGTCTTTTCTCGTATCATAAAGGTTACCTACCGGATCTTCCCACATTCAGCTCCCTTTACCTCAAATTTTACCAGAAGAAAAGCATCCCGGATCATGATGAAGTTCCTTCCAACCAGATATACTGGATTTCCTCTGGATTTCCTCTACCCGTTTAGTGTAGAGATTCTTCACAGAATACCTATTCTTGCTCTTTTACCATAAACGCCCAGTTTGTGGTGTCTAATCTGCCTGAGCTGTGGCTTTCTGCAGCTCCTCCAGAGTGTGGTTGCACCATGGCAACATGTGGAAATGTTTGAAAAGTGGGAAAATTTGATAAGGTGTGGATAGTAGAGCCTTAACAGCTCAAAAGGTTCAGTTGTTTTCTTGGCTTGTTTTTTTGTTCTGTGAAACTGATGCTAATAGTTGCAGTTTGTTGTTGTAGGGTCATGTTAGCTAGGTAAAAGCGATCTTTGAGACGGTAAGATGCTCAGATCAACCCGCTAACTCTTCAGCTTCTATGCCGTTTTCTTCTTTCTCTGCTTTTTGCTTATCGCTGATAATTTTTTTCATCTTATTTTCCAGCAAGTGTGGGTGTGTGGGTGTGTGTGTGTGTGTGTGTCGGGGGAGCAGCTCTTCATAAAGGCAGACTCGCTCAGAGATTCTCTCCCACACTCCTCATCCTCGCTCTGTTTTTCTTTCTCTTTTTTTGTTTCTCTATTCTTTCAGCTCCACACTTGGCATTCCTTGGCTCTCATTCGCACTACGCCACTCTGGCTGGCACCCGACCATACATCAGTGAATATCTTGGTTTAAGTTCTTCACTCCTATTTTCTTCCCCTTCGGTTTGTTTTCCTCCTTTACAGCTCAGATGTGCAGTTCGGAGCCATGTAGGCTCTTCTTCTAGCATGTCTACATTTTTTATAAATCTTTCTGGAGCGATGTCCTGCCATTGCTGAGCTGTAAACCCTTAACCATAGTTGACTGCTCTCTGGCTGAGCTCTCTATTGGCTGCTTTCATCAGTGACCAGTTCGTCCCATTAGACATAGACAGGCTCATTCAGGGATAACCCCCCTCTCCCTGTAAACATTCCGGTTTCCTCCTCTTATATTTGTATCCTGACAGTTTTGCTGTTTTGCTCTGACTCCTCCACCCCTCCTTGGGGCTTATCTCTGTTGGTTTGTTTGATCGGTTGACCTCATCGCCTCATGTGTCTTATGTATCGCTCCTCCAGCTCCTCCCCCATCCGGCCCTCCCTCCACACTCACACCAGGAGGCAGCTCTACCCTGTCCAAGAAGAGACCTCCGCCCCCACCTCCTGGACACAAACGCACCCTGTCCGACCCACCCAGCCCGCTCTCTCACAGTCCGCACAGTAAAGGGGGCTCAGTATCCGGGGGTGAGACCGCAAACCACACGTGAAACAGCAGTTAGCCCGCTGCCAGATGAGGAAAAATATGAATAAATACAATCAATGTTGGAACCTTAAGTTAAGTTTTTTCCTTTAATAGGGTCTAATAAGAGAAAGCCAGACTTTCAATGTCTTTTTCTTTTTTGGTTGCAATAAAAAAAAAAAAAAAAATCCACTCCAGATAACTATTCTGCATTATAATTTTTTATTTTCCCCTAACCTGTAAGAAGATGGGGATATAAAAGGTCTCCTAAGAACAAGGAATGAAGCCGTGTCACTTCTATGAAGAGTAGACAGCTTAGTGAAAAGTCCAATCCTATTTGTGTCTGCACTTTGTTGGATTTTGCCTAAAACAGTTCATGTTTTCAACAGTGAAGCAGATCGAGAACACTTTAAAGATAGAATAACGTTTAGCCTGCTGAACTGGAAGCAGTTGTTTTTAATAAACACCACAAAACCTAAGTTAAAATGCATCAGATCCTCACAATTGAGTGATCCTTAATTTATTTAATATATTTAATCCCTTCTGTAGCTGTTGTTAGCTGGCAATATATTTAGGGGCATATTATTGAAAAGTACATTGAAGTTCAGCTTTACTTTAAACTAGGGGTTTAATGAGTGGGAAACTATGTTTAGAATGATTAGAAGTTGAATTTACTAACAGAGCACTGTCAGACTAGGAATCTTCTTATTGTTGAACGTGTTATTTATCCCCGACTGTTTGTCTCCACCCTGTCTCTCTCACACACACACATAAACACACACCCAAACACAGAGTAAATAGCAGCCCCTCAGATAACGCAGCAAACACCAGGAGCTCATCACAGAGAGCTCAGCCAGAAGATGCCCTCCCCCTCATTGTTTTCTTTAACCATCACAGCATGTTGATTTGTTTCCACATTTATACCAAATTAATTCCTCCATCCACGCTCTGATGTGGTGTTCAGTTTTTTCCTCTGTTGTTGTGGCCAATGTGAATATTTCAGGAAGCGACTCCACCCCTCCTCCGGTCAGTAAGATGTCCCCCGTGTCCAACAAGTTTGAGGGCATTCCTCAGCAGCAGAGGTAAAACCCCACGGGAACCCAAAGAGTCAAATTCTGTGTGTTTTCATATCGACTGAACTTTGATCATCTTAATTTCTCTAGCACTACGTCGAGCAACACAAAGTCTACACTCGGTCCAAGGGTTCTTCCCAAACTACCTCAGAAAGGTACACTCTTTCACTTTTTTACATTTCCTGTACCACAGCACAGGGTTTCTATAGTCTGATAAAACCCTTCCCTTCTGTCTGAATGTTGTGTCCTTCCTTCCTTCCTTCCTTCCTTCCTTCCTTCCTTCCTTCCTTCCTTCCTTCCTTCCTTCCTTCCTTCCTTCCTTCCTTCCTTCCTTCCTTCCTTCCTTCCATCCTTCCTTCCTTCCTTCCTTCCTTTTTCCCTGTACCCTAACTACTCTCACTTTCTCCATTTTTGACTCCTTGCTTCCTGGCCTCCTCCCTTATTTCCTTGTTTTTCCTGTCATTTCCTCTTTATTCTCTCTGTCCTTTTCTTCATTGTTTTCCTCCCTTTCCTTTTCCTTAATGCTTGATTTCCCCTCTCTTATTAATCTCTTCTTCCTTCCATGTTTCAAACATGAATCATTTCCTCCTCCCTTGCTTGTTTCATATCTCCATTCTGTCCTATCGTTTTTGTCCCTTCTCTATTTTTCTGTGCTATCTTATGTTTTTCCTTTCTGTCCTTCTCAGTGTCCTTCTATGTCCTTTCGTCATACTTTTGCTCCTTCAGTTCTTACTTCTTTCCTGCTGTCCTTTCTTCCTGTCATCCTGTATCCTTTTTTTCATTTTTCTGCTTACATCTTTATAGCCATCCTAGAGCAGACATAACTTCTATATTTATGTTAAACTCTAGATTTTAATTTATAAAATTGATTTTAAGGAAAAAAGGAACAGAGGAGTTGAGTCTCGACATATTTTAGGTTAAACTTGTTTGGAACCATGAGTCTTTTTCCTAATTTAGCATTTTTCCCTCCAGTGGCATTGAGAAAGATTGACACCATCCACCATCCGTCTGTGGACAAGCCCAGCCTTCCTCCAGAGGTCTTCCCAAAGTCTCCGCCAGCAACTGATGCTGCTCACAAGGCGCCGCTGGCAGAGCGGCCCCAGCTGGGCGACCTGCCCCCAAAACCACAGGTGTCCGAACTTCCCCCGAAACCCGGAGAGCTTCCTCCGAAGCCGCAGCTCTCTGACCTGCCTCCTAAACCTCAGCTGGGAGATCTGCCGCCCAAACCCCAGCTCAAAGACCTTCCCCCCAAGCCTCACCTGGCAGACATCCCTCCTAAACCCGGGACATCTGACGCCACCCCCAGGCCCCCTTCTGGAGATTCAGTACAGAGGCCACAATCGCAGCCTCCACCTCAGACTCAGCCGCAGGACTCGCTGTCACCCAACCAACAGGCAAACATCCCAACTCCATCCCAGCAGGCTGCCGAGGACACTAATGGGACCCCACCAGGGACAGCGGAGACTCCTGTGCCCCTCCCGAGGAAAATCAATACAGTATGGACACCGACTTTGTCTTTTGGTTAACAGAAACTTCCATGGTGTCATAACCCTGGTTCTACCCTAAACCATTACTTATGGAAAGATGTTTTTACAACATTGATTTATCCAAGTTATGCTCCATTTTGGTTTTGTTGTCAAAATATTACCAATTGAAAACATTTAATCCTTTTTTTCTGGGATCATTTATAGTTTTAAACTTTGCTTGAACAACATTAACATAATTTAACAGGGAAAATGAGACCTCATCAAGTAGGGGTGTAGTTTGAGGACCTGTATGTTAAAAATCAAACAGAACACAGTCCCTTATAAAGGGTTAACACCCTTGAAATTGTTCTATTAATGCCACAGAGGTTTGTTTAATTTACTGGGAGTTAAAGGAATAGTACACCCAAAACATGATTAGCCTTCATTTTCTACTCACCCCCATGCTGAACAACACCCTGGAGTACTTTTTTGATATCTCAAATGCATCTGGAGATCTGGGAGGCTTCTTGCTGTCTGCTGACATTCAAAAATGGAGGTCTATGGCGCCCAAGGCAGAAAGGTCCATAAAAGTCCACAAAAAACGTGTCAATATTCCTCCATACTGCTCGTCCAATGGATTCCAAGTGTCCTTAGTGGGTAGCATCCAGAATTTACTCGAAACGAAGTCATTTAGAATGTTTTTAGAGCATAAACAGTAGTGTATAGGATTTCCTGAAAGCGCGCACATGAGCGATCACGACGCTACGGAAGCCGGCAGACAAACCAGACGAAAGTGCGCATTCAGCGTCTGCTCTACCGATAATGCAAGCGTAGAAGAAGAAATGTGCTGTTTACCTGTGCAAAGAAAGAAACAACGAAAGAAAAATGTCTGAGGACTTCAGTGTTGAGGAAGAGCATGAGTTCTTTGCCGAGCTGAATGCGCTGGTTTGGTCTGCCGGCTTCCGTAGCGTCGTGATCGCGCATGTGCGCGCTTTCAGGAAATACTATACACTACTGTTTATGCTCTAAAAACATTCTAAATGACTTCGTTTCGAGTAAATTCTGGACGCTAACCACTCAGGACACTTGGAATACATTGGACGAGCAGTATGGAGGAATATTGACACGTTTTTTGTGGACTTTTATGGACCTTTCTGCCTCGGGCGCTGGGCACCTCCATTATTTGAATGTCAGCAGACAGCAAGAAGCCTCCCAGATCTCCAGATGCATTTGAGATATCAAAAAAGTACTCCAGAGTGTTGTTCAGCATGGGGGTGAGTAGAAAATGAAGGCTAATCATGTTTTGGGTGTACTATTCCTTTAAAGTTCCAGAAAAAACACAAACTAGATCAACATAAAAAATATATATATATATATACATACACTTTTTATATTTTCTGCCCTTTTTACTCAGATACATACAAATAAGTGTAATCTGCATTCTTACCCTGACTGGGAATCCAGCTGTTCTGTGAAGCCCCATGAGGTTTGTTAGTGAACAGTAGAGGACGGAAAGCATCATAAAGACAGATGGGGGGGAAAAAAGGGCTAAGAAGAGTTGTTTAATGTTCAATATCCCAACTTCTGAAGCTCCAAAAATCTGACTTTCATATGGTATGATCATAAATGAAGAAGACACAAGAGGTACTGAAAACAGTTGGGATGTAGAAATAGCAAGCAATCATCTTAAACACATCATCTACAATGGGTTACATGGTGGTGGCAGCATAATGCTGCGGGGATACCTGAACTGAGAGCAAGATAGAAAGAGCTGAAAGTATTCTTCCTTTCCCTCTTTGTCCAGGGGAAGAATAAAACCAGGCGGGTGAAGACCATCTACGACTGTCAGGCCGACAACGACGATGAGCTGACGTTTGCCGAAGGAGAGGTGATCATAGTAACGGGGGAGGAGGACCAGGAGTGGTGGGTGAGTTCCTGTAGAGACTTTCTCTACAGCTCCGGTTAGCTTCCTCACACACACTGCTTTCGCTTTCCCCTTTACATGCCTTTCTTTTCTGGTTTTCTCCTTCCAGATCGGACACATCGAGGGAGAACCTGAAAGAAAAGGCGTCTTCCCCATGTCCTTTGTGCACATCCTGAGTGACTGACAGCCAGACTTGCACTACGTTTCTCCCTAAACTGGGATTTAATGTAAATATCTTAATCGCACACCAGTAACCCCCCGCCTCCCCCAAAGAAAAATAGAAAATAAAGAAAAACCCAGCAGGCTCATCTAGACCCGGATGCCACATCCACGCTGTACAAAGAATGTGTGTATTCCTCCTCTACCAGTATTATCTTAACCCCTATAGCATGGCCGGAGACGGAGCCACTCTAAAAAACAAACCCTAGCACTTACCTAGAAGTCTATGTTTATGCTGTTCCTGTGTATATATGTATGTAAATATATATATTTGTGTGTGAGTGTACATACATGTTTTATTGTACAAAACATGTACCGCTCTCTGCCTGCTCCATCAAGCGTCAGGTTGGTAGAGCGGGAATTTTATCTGTATTAATTTCACCGGCCCTTCAGTAATTATCAACCTATACTTGTGTGGGGGGTGGGGTGGGATGGGGGGGATAGATATGAAATCGAATGTGAAATAGGTCATGTCATTATTTGTCTTGCATCCCCGTTTACCATCGTAGAGGCAGGAGTCTCCCGCTGAAAAGTATTCTCATTAAGTGTACTCCTTGTTCTTGCTTGCTTTTGGTGTGTTACATGTATTACGGTTGTTTTTTTTATTACCGTACAGAAACCTGCTGCTACTGCGTGGTTGGGAAAAAAAAAAAAACTAACATTCAAAACGCCTGTGGTTCGCTGTAGGTCACTAATTTACTCCTTGTTACACTGTCCATCCGTACGTTTGCTCTGTGTGTTGAAAAACCCAACGCCATCTCAGCTTTTCCTCCACGCTTGGTATAACGACTGGAAACGAGCGGAGTGCAGCGTTTAGACACTCACCTCAGGGTTTGAAGAGCCACTATTAAAACCATAGCAGGACTACGCAGAAGGAAAGTATATCCTGTTTTAAGCCACTATCGACTACACGTATGGGAACCCTAACAGGACATTTTAGCAATAACTTGATTTGTTTTAGTTTTTTTAATCACGGCCTAGAAAGCTTCTGTGTTCACATTTCAGTGTCTTGTAAAATCTCATGAACTTGAATTTTTTTTTTTTTTTAAGTTTGATCTAGTTTGAAAAGTGCATCATTCCTTGTTACTGGATTCAGTACATTTCCAGGTTGCCTGTGAACCAGAAATGTCTTGTAGATGAAGGTTGGAGACCATGTGTTTTCACTCAGTCCTCACTGACCTGAAGTTCTTCCCCATCATGTTAAGGAACAAACCCATCAACCCATTGTATCATTAAAAAGTGCTGTACCGAAACCCATGGGTCATGTGTTTTTATGAATTGGGTTCAAGTCCAAAAGGAAACTGGATCTAACTTTTTGGTATTTGTTTTGTTGCATTAATGATGCACCTTTAATAGACATTGGAAAAAAAAAAAAAAAAAAAAAGTCTTTGAGGTTGAGTTTTTAAATGGGACAACTCTGTAGGACAAAGAGCTTGGTATACATCTCTACCTGCCCCCCCCCAAAAGTCAGGATTTTTTTTTATTTTGGTCACAGGACCTATAACCATCCATGGCCCAGGAAGGCTGGATTTTACAAAAAATAAAAAGTACCTAGTTTCCAAAATGATCATGTTCCAGTGTTAATCTGTTCATTCAAAAGGTTACATATCCTTTAGTGCAAGACATTCCAGCTGGTCAACTTAACTTCTGAAAACTAGATTGCAATTAGAGGTTACAGTGCTCAGACTACAAAATATTTAATAGTTTCCTTAAAGAAAATAGTCAAATTATAGTACTTCAGCATGCAGGTTAAGTTTGCATTTCATCCATGCACATCCTTCCTAATGCTTGCTTAATCAGAAGCATCCAAATCATTGCTTAGACTCTCATGCAAGTTGATAAAATTTTAGTCAGGAGAGTTGAAGTGAAAACCTTTCCCAATGTTTTGCAGGCTAAAAGCTCAAGTTAGCTTAAAAACCTTCCACCTAAATCTGTCCAAGCAATTACTTCAACCTTGGAAGGTAAACCTCACAGTTTGAGAATCAAGCAGCCCAGTCTCTTGCTTCCAAGCTTCAAGTAAAAAAAAAAAAAAAAAAAGCTGAAAATTTGAGACTTAAACCCAGGTACCTTTACATTGTACAAGTAATTGCAAATAACCCCATTAACTTTTGGTATTTGTAGCAAAACACTTTGGGCAAACTGAAGTGACAAAATTCAGGCAGTTTCACTTTTAACCTTGTCGGAAAAATAAACTGGCAACGTTTCCCCCTGCAATGAGTTAGCAATAAGCAATTGAGTCCACAAACAGATTAAACTGAAAGATTTAATCTTTTAACAAATCATAAATACAGTTCACATTTTTTTCCAATAACTGCAGTTTTTCTAATTTAAATAATTCACCCTTTTTACAATTTTGGGGTAATATTAACACAGGATCATCATACACTTTAAAGAAATTATTAATGCTTTTTGTTGCAACACAAACATTACTTTTCTCAAAATAAAAAGTACAGTTGGCCACTAAAACCAACTCATTTAGGCTGTGCCTTCTGAGAAGGCTTAGAGCTTTGGTCCTTCTCCACAGACTTGATCACGCCTACAGCTACAGTCTGCTTCAAGTCTCTGGCTGCAAAGCGACCTGTGGATACATTAGGATAAAGTTAGACATGGATTTGCATGATTTTCCTTTCAAGCTGCCTTAACTTACCTAAAGGAGGGTAGTTGAAGAAGCTCTCCACACACATGGGTTTTATAGGAACCAGTTTGACCGTGGCTGCATCTCCAGACCTCAGCAGCTGTGGGTTGTCCTCCAGCTTCTTGCCTGAACGGCGGTCAAGCTTCTCCTTCAGCTCTGCGAAGCGACAGGTGACATGGGCTGTATGGCAGTCCAGTACAGGAGAGTAACCTGTTTTTATCCTTCCTGGATGATTCAGGATAATGACCTGCAGGAGATTCAAAGTTTATTTTTTCCCCCCCATAGCAAAGAAAAATTTTATTTTAACCAACCTGAGCTTCAAAGCTATGGACGTCTGAAGGCGGATCATGTTGGACATTTCCAGCCACATCTCCACGCCGCAGGTTCTTTACAGACACGTTCTTGATGTTGAAGCCAACGTTGTGCCCTGGTAGAGCTGCATCCAGACCTTGGTGGTGCATCTCTATGGACTTTACCTCTGCAGTGAGCTTGGCAGGGGAAAACATCAGGGTCATGCCTGGTTTAAGGATTCCAGTTTCAATCTTCCCCACTGGGACAGTCCCAACACCTAAAGCAGATCTCCAAGTCAATCAACATATCACCAAATTAAGTCAAATTCTTTAATGCAATGCTCTTGGTGCCACATTACCTCCAATTTTGTAGACATCCTGCAGAGGCAAGCGTAGGGGCTTGTTAATTGTGCGCACTGGAGGCTTAATTGAGTCCAGGACTTCAAGGAGGGTCTTACCGCTTGAAACGCCTTCCTTTGACCTCACTTTCCAGCCTTGGTACCATGGCATCTGCAAACAGGTATATAAATAAAAAAATAAAAAAAAGTCCCACCCTGCCACTTTGAACCCAATTTTTTTATTTTTTTATTTTAAATACACACCTTTTGTGTTTGGGTAACCATATTTTCTCCAGTCCAGCCAGAGATTGGCACAAATGGCACTGCATTAGTGTCATAACCAATCTTTTTGAGGAAGACCTTCACACCTCTGACCACTTCTTCATAGCGTTTCTGGCTGTATGGAGGTTCAGTCATATCCATCTTGTTCACACAGACTATGATCTGCTTCACACCCAAGGTGTAAGCCAGTAAAGCATGCTCTCTTGTCTGGCCACTCCTGGAAATGCCCGCTTCATACTCTCCTTTAGCTGCAGAGACGACCAGCAGAGCAACGTCAGCCTAGGAGATTAAATAGAGGTTACTATAGAAAATATTTTGCAGAGAAGTTGAACCCTCACCCTTATTTCCTTACCTGGGATGTCCCAGTAATCATGTTTTTGATGAAGTCTCTGTGTCCTGGTGCATCAATGATGGTCATGCTGTAATTCTGGGTGTTGAATTTCAACAGAGAGATGTCGATGGTGATCCCTCGCTCTCGCTCAGCTTTCAGTTTGTCCAACAGCCAGGCAAACTTGAAGGAACTCTTCCCCATCTGGAAAGCAATTCAACCATTAATCCCAGTTCAGTATCCCTTTGCAAAAAAAACACCAATACAACATTTCCAGTCTTACTTGAGCTGCAGCCTTCTCAAACTTCTCCAGTTTTCTCTGATCGACACCGCCACACTTATAAACAAGGTGTCCGGTGGTGGTCGACTTGCCACTGTCCACATGGCCAATGATGACGACATTAACGTGGGTCTTCTCTCTCGCCATGGCTATGGAAGCAGGCTAAAGCGCAAACCTGGAAATGAAACCGGCTCAGATGCAACTCACCCTTGCTTTTTTTTCACAGTCTTTTGTTAAATGGTTCAGCCACATTCAGCCTGTCTTTATAAGCCGCATCAAGTGGAAACAGGTGTGCAGCATAATTAGGCCTGATTGGTGTCCATGAGTTCAGGAGGGACAGTGACAGAGGAAAAGGGTGAGGATACCAGAAAAAAGCTGCTGAAATCTTCAAAGAAAACCCTCTTTAAGTGGAAATATAGATATAAAGGGTTGCTTTGGTGTTCTGATTAGGGAGGAAAAATAGCAATTAGATAAAATAAAAGTGTTATACATTACCATGAACATGTTGCTGAAAACACTGTTCTTTTTTTTATTTAAAGTATAAGATTCTTATACATTACCAACAGATATCAAGATGTATAATTAAACATTTTATAAAGATTAGAAAAAAACCCTGTCCCTCATGTTAAAATATTAACTTTTACTCTATAGCCTGATAAATTGTATATATTCTGCAAATATCACGTTTTTACCAACATAATACAAAAAAAATTTATTCATACATTTTTTGTTTCAATTTGGGAAGGATGAAATGTTGAGCTTTTTTGTTTATAAAATGTCGCTTTCCTTTATCTTAAACACTCTAAAAAAATCAATAAAATATACATGAAGTGTGGTGTTACATTAAACATTGGAATGATGACATATTGAAATACTTTATGACAGAAAAATCCTATTTTGTCTCCTGCTTGGAAAGAATTTTATCATATTAATGAAACAATGCAAGCTTTTTCTCTGCAGAGGAAGTGCAGTGGGCAAAAGCATAGAGCTGTAACTTTTAAAACATAAGACAATAAGATACATAAACTAAATAAGGGGTTTTATTATTCCAACCTTCTATTTAGGAAAAAAAAAAAATATCTTTTTTATCAAAATTTTCATTGGTAATTCCTTTTATGTATGAGGCAAAACACAAAATATCAGGTAGGGGAATGTAAAAATCTTTTTGAATATAAAAGCATTTTTATCTTTGTAGAATTTACTGATGTTCTGTAACTGAGCCGCTAACAATTATGACATTTAGACAGATAATTAAATGAAGCATTCACAATTGTACACTATTAGAGATGTTAGATTCTAAAGGAGCTTGAACAGTGTTGTATAGTAACGAAGTAAAAATACTTCACTACTGTACTTAAGTATATTGTGGAGTACTTTATACTTTCCAAGAGTATACATTTTTTTAAGAACTTTCAATTTTACTTCACTACATTTACAAACTTAATACTTTTACTCCGATACATTTTCAATGTTTGGTTTAGTTACTAAGTAAAAGAAAAAAAAAAAAAAAGAAATGCGAGAGAAATGCAAGTGTTTTGACCCCACCTACTGACTACAAAGTCAGGTCTTGCCTGGGCTTGTTCATGAACGCCAATAGGATACGCCTTTTTCGCAAAGCCAGTCTAAATTTATCCTACACTTGGTTGTTTATATTGTTTTAAGTGAATTTAACCTTCAAAGTTTACCAAAATGTAAAAAAATGTCATTCAAACTGCACTTACTTTTTACTTATACTTTTCACTACATTACTTGAGTACATCTATTTTTACATTCCGTAAAAATTCAAAAAATATCCACTGGACTTGGTTTGAATTTTTACGGAATGACTATGACCTGGATGACTGAGAACCTTCATCAGCATCTATTTTTACAGTAATTGTTATACTTAAGTACAAGCCATATCAGATACTTTAAGACTTTTACTCAAGTAACATTTCAGTCAGTGACTTGGACTTTTACCAAAGTCATATTTTGGAGAGGTACTTATACTTTTACTTGACTCCGAGATTTCAGTACTTTATACAACACTGAGCTTGAATATTTTCCTCTAACAAAAAATGACAAAGCTGAAATGTTTATTTATTTAAACTGTAGTTGAAAATGTTTGATATTTGGTGTTTTGCATAAAAGACGGATAATAATCTGATTAAATGTTAAAACTAATAGATTCCATTTTCGTCCTTACTGTTTAACTATACTAAGGGTTACTTTTATTATTATTTCTTACATTATTTTGGTTGCTATTGAAATATGTACAAACTAGCTAATTTAAGGGATTCTATGCAACACTGTAAAAACCTCAAGGTGTTGGAAGAAAAAAAATCTTTTTGTCTATATTTAGTGCAATTACTCTACTTTTGAATATTCAAATATTCATTTGGTATAAAAATGAACAAAGTTACAAATATACAAAGTTGCCTTTTGTATCTCTGCTTCTTTCTGTGTGTCTTCTTCTGCCTCCTTGAACCCCAGTCGGCCTCTCCAGATGGCCGCTCACACTGAGCCTGGTTCTGCTGGAGGTTTCTTCCTGTTAAAAGGAAGTTTTTCCTCTCCACTGTCGCTACAAGCATGCTTAGTGTGGGGGATTGCCTTTGAGTCAATGAGTCGATGCAATCAGCTGGTTTAACTTAGATAGAAAACTTTGAATAAGTTTGACTGTATGATCTGGTGAACTGTAAAGTGCCTTGACATGACATGTGTTGTGAATTGGTGCTATATAAAGAAACTGAATTGAATTGAATTGAATTGAAAATGAATACATCAATAGATGCAAAAGTTTGATATACCTCAAAACTTTGTTTGAATTTAAACTCAACTAAAAGTCATACCTGATATATTTTTTTTCAATGTGCTTCTAATTAATAGATATTCATTTGGACTTTTCAAACACATTATCTTTCCATTGCCTCCACATCAGGGTGATATGACGAAACAAAGTGGAAGACAAAAGAAATACAGAACTATATGTGTCTATAACAGACTGCCTGTGAGAAATGGCTATAGATCCTTTTTAAAGTAGTGCTTTGTTATTTGTATTTGCAGTAACCTCTTATCAATAAATGCACACGCCTCTGCTTTTTTAATCCAGTTGAATGTTCAAAGGGAATAAATTGGGCTTGAAGCATCTTCTTTAACCTCTTGCCAAAGACATTTCAGGAGAGTAAAAAGTCTTGGGATATCTGGTTCAAGGTTATTGTTATTTTAGCTGCTCTTAAGATATAGAAGTCCTAATCAAAGCAGATTTAATTATAGCTCTGTTCTGTAATAATCCTAAGGAGGGAACAAATGAAAAGTTTCCTCTGACCTACTGTGGCAGTCCATCATGACATATAATTAAACTCCACTCTGTGTTTGAATAACATTTTGAGCCATTGATACAAGCAATACTAATTTTCACTAGTCATAATCGAAATGAGAAATATCTCAAATTAGATTCATAGCCATTCTTAACTTTCAAATGTCACTTTATATAACATACAATAGTTATACTGAGCAACTATAGAATATATTTAAATGCATTGTTTTTGTTCATTTGTCTTTTAATACAAGGCTTGAAACTTTCCTTTTTTGATAAAGCTTATAAGAAGAGTTGCTTAACTTATTCTGAGCTATTTCTAGTTCTGCTGCTATAGTTTTAGGGTGCTGGAAGACATAGGGACCACTTTTTGATCATACTGCTTCATTCTACTCCTAACATTATTTTCTCTCTGCTTTTTTCTGTCACATTAGTTACATTTATTGTGTTCCTGTTCTGCTTTGACATCATCTTGCAGAGAAATATCAGCTGGGCTGCTGCCATCAATACGTCCCATTATAATCATACAGTAGTTCGCCCTGTTTTCCAGTGCTTAGCCCTGTTTCTCTCGTAGACATAGCTATGGGCTCAGCTTTTTCTGTATTTCATCATTTGACTTGAAAACTAGCTCAGATCTCATCTGCTTAACTGTTTCTTTCACAGATAGAGCCACATGTTGAGCTAGTTTAGCATTACCTTTTCTAACTTAGAAGTATAACGGATCAGTGCTTATATGTTCCTTTTATGTGTTAGTCTCTATTTCGTTTCATTCTCAGCAGAAGGCTTTTGGGGGGTTCATTGGAGGTTTCTTCCTATTAAAGGGAGTTTTTCTTCTCCACTGTCACTGCATGCATGCTCAGTGTGAGGGATGGCTGTAGTTTCAATGAAAAAATGCAAAAGAATATCTACTGTTGCCACAAGCTCATCCAGGAGGAGCATCTCCTGAGAAGTCAATGAATCGATTGGCTGGTTTTCCTGTGATACAAATCCTTTTTTTTACCAATCCGACTAAATGAAATAAATCTGATTGAACTGTCTCTGCAAAGTTTTGTAAAGGTGATGTTTTGTGTTGTGCTGTCTAAATAAACTGAATAAAAATGTTAACAGTGTAGAAGGGGAGTTGTTTTATTCCAAAACCATCTTTGAAGTCTTGGGCAACATTTTTAACTTTGAAAGTTTAAACTTTTTATAATTATATGTTTTGTCTTTCAGGTCCAGATATGGAAACATATCAACCTGGTTTATATTTTTGTTAACGTCTTTCAATTTCAGTTGTTTGCTTTCTTCTAAGTGAAAAACATGTTTTGTTTTCCAGATACCTTGGTCTAAGAGCCCATCAGAATAGGACTAAAAAGTGCCACTGCCTAATGAATAAATTATGATTTAAATTATTTAGAGTGCTTAAGTATCAAACAAAGATTGCCGGAATAAATAGAAAAAGCCCTGTTTAAACCACTCTTTGTGTATGTGAAAATATGATTGCTTCTCTTGTTAAATTAGTTACAAACTTCTGTCATTTTCAGACTTTTTGAGCAAAAGAACATCAAACTCACGACAAAACATGGTAACCATAGTGTGAAGTGTTCAGGTCTGCTTTGACACTTGAACCTGCTTGATTCTCATTTTACTTTGCTACCTGGGGGAATAAAATTCTGAAGGAGGATGTACGGCTCAAGCACAGTTTTTTTGTCTAACCAGAGAAAGATCCAAAGCACACCAGCACATCCACTTCTGAAGGGCTCGAAATGAAAACATTATAAAAAGAAGGTGATGACCATTTGTGATGGATGAGGAGGAGTGTTTCTTGTGTGTATATATACATACATACATATATATATATATATATATATATATATATATATATATATATATATATATATATATATATATATATATATATATATATATAATCAATGGTTTTAACAGTCAAGTAATACAGATTTGTGTGGGATATGTCCACATTTATTTATCTCATTAAATAAATCAAGCTACTTCTCATTTTTGTTTTTCATTAGGGTTTAACATGACAAAACTGTTTTATATGTTTGACAAAACATGTTTTGTCAAACATGTGAGGGTGAATTGAGTCTCCTCCTGCCTTTCTGTCTATTATATGCTAAAACCACTTGCCATACCAGGAGAGGCGGAACAGCTCAGACTCTCCTCCCTGACCACAGTGACGCCGAAGAAGAAACCCGGAAACAGCAGCAGCAGCAAATCGCTCTGCTTCTCCTTTGAGCCGCTGCTTCCAGCGTGGTATCCAGTCCTCGTCTCCTGTGTTTCTCATCGAGCATCAAGGTAAATAAAAGCAACCAACGCCATTTAAACAGATAAAAAATTGACGTTTACCACTTTTTGGCTTTCTCTTCGGCTTTTTCGCCTTCAGCTTCCCACCAGTTGCCGCTGAGCAAATCTCGTTTTCCTGTTACATTTTGTCCCTCTGAATGAATGAGTCATAAAATGATGTAGGTCTGTATTAAAAACACTGCTACTTGGTGTGATTATCGTTAATTAAAACGACGAAAAAGTGTTATCTTTGGCTCGCCGCATCCTCTACATGTACCGTTAACTTCCTCTTTTCACAGCAGCGGTTTTCTGAGCTAACCCCGCTGCTGGTTTTTCCTTTATTTGGACAGAGGCTTTGAACGTTACACGCTTGACCCATGCCGTGTGATTATAGCCTGGCTGTGGGCTGCTTGTTTGGCCTTTCACATTACTGTATTTACCCAAGTTTAGTCTGAGGCGTGTGCCTCCAATTGAGAGAGCTTTTAGGCAGCAAATGATGCATGTTTTAAGGAGAGGCATACACTGACAGCTGGGCCATGTGTGGAACTGCTGCTTTGGCTCCTATTGGTGCTTTAGATCAGGTGTATCTCTCTGGTTTGTTGCTTTAGATCTGGTGTATCTCTCTTGTTTGTTGCTTTAGATCAGGTGTATTTCTCTCTTATTTGTTGCTTTAGATCAGTTGTATTTCTCTTATTTGTTGCTTTAGATCAGGTGTATTTCTCTTGTTTGTTGCTTTAGATCAGGTGTATTTCTCTCTTATTTGTTGCTTTAGATCAGATGTATCTCTCTCTTATTTGTTGCTTTAGATCAGGTGTATCTCTCTTATTGTTTGTTGCTTTAGATCAGGTGTATTTCTCTCTTATTTGTTGCTTTAGATCAGGTGTATTTCTCTTGTTTGTTGCTTTAGATCAGGTGTATCTCTCTTGTTTGTTGCTTTAGATCAGGTGTATTTCTCTCTTGTTGCTTTAGATCAGATGTATCTCTCTCTTATTTGTTGCTTTAGATCAGGTGTATTTCTCTTATTTGTTGCTTTAGATCAGGTGTATTTCTCTCTTATTTGTTGCTTTAGATCAGGTGTATTTCTCTCTTGTTGCTTTAGATCAGATGTATCTCTCTCTTATTTGTTGCTTTAGATCAGGTGTATTTCTCTTATTTGTTGCTTTAGATCAGGTGTATTTCTCTCTTATTTGTTGCTTTAGATCAGGTGTATTTCTCTCTTATTTGTTGCTTTAGATCAGGTGTATTTCTCTTATTTGTTGCTTTAGATCAGGTGTATTTCTCTCTTATTTGTTGCTTTAGATCAGGTGTATTTCTCTTGTTTGTTGCTTTAGATCAGGTGTATCTCTCTTGTTTGTTGCTTTAGATCAGGTGTATTTCTCTCTTGTTGCTTTAGATCAGATGTATCTCTCTTATTTGTTGCTTTAGATCAGGTGTATTTCTCTTATTTGTTGCTTTAGATCAGGTGTATTTCTCTCTTATTTGTTGCTTTAGATCAGGTGTATTTCTCTCTTATTTGTTGCTTTAGATCTGGTGTATCTCTCTTGTTTGTTGCTTTAGATCTGGTGTATCTCTCTTGTTTGTTGCTTTAGATCAGATGTATTTCTCTCTTATTTGTTGCTTTAGATCAGGTGTATTTCTCTTATTTGTTGCTTTAGATCAGATGTATTTCTCTCTTATTTGTTGCTTTAGATCAGGTGTATTTCTCTCTTATTTGTTGCTTTAGATCAGATGTATTTCTCTCTTATTTGTTGCTTTAGATCAGGTGTATCTCTCTTGTTTGTTGCTTTAGATCAGGTGTATTTCTCTTATTTGTTGCTTTAGATCAGGTGTATTTCTCTCTTATTTGTTGCTTTAGATCAGGTGTATTTCTCTTATTTGTTGCTTTAGATCAGGTGTATTTCTCTCTTATTTGTTGCTTTAGATCAGGTGTATTTCTCTCTTGTTTGTTGCTTTAGATCAGGTGTATTTCTCTCTTATTTGTTGCTTTAGATCAGGTGTATTTCTCTCTTATTTGTTGCTTTAGATCAGGTGTATCTCTCTTATTGTTTGTTGCTTTAGATCAGATGTATTTCTCTCTTATTTGTTGCTTTAGATCAGGTGTATCTCTCTTATTGTTTGTTGCTTCAGATCAGGTGTATTTCTCTCTTATTTGTTGCTTTAGATCAGGTGTATTTCTCTTATTTGTTGCTTTAGATCAGGTGTATTTCTCTTATTTGTTGCTTTAGATCAGGTGTATCTCTCTTATTTGTTGCTTTAGATCAGGTGTATTTCTCTTATTTGTTGCTTTAGATCAGGTGTATTTCTCTTATTTGTTGCTTTAGATCAGGTGTATTTCTCTCCTATTTGTTGCTTTAGATCAGGTGTATTTCTCTCTTATTTGTTGCTTTAGATCAGGTGTATTTCTCTCCTATTTGTTGCTTTAGATCAGGTGTATTTCTCTCTTATTTGTTGCTTTAGATCAGGTGTATCTCTCTTATTTGTTGCTTTAGATCAGGTGTATTTCTCTTATTTGTTGCTTTAGATCAGGTGTATTTCTCTCTTGTTTGTTGCTTTAGATCAGGTGTATCTCTCTTATTTGTTGCTTTAGATCAGGTGTATTTCTCTTATTTGTTGCTTTAGATCAGGTGTATCTCTCTTGTTTGTTGCTTTAGATCAGGTGTATTTCTCTCTTATTTGTTGCTTTAGATCAGGTGTATTTCTCTCTTATTTGTTGCTTTAGATCAGGTGTATTTCTCTTATTGTTTGTTGCTTTAGATCAGGTGTATCTCTCTTATTGTTTGTTGCTTTAGATCAGATGTATTTCTCTCTTATTTGTTGCTTTAGATCAGGTGTATCTCTCTTATTGTTTGTTGCTTTAGATCAGGTGTATTTCTCTCTTATTTGTTGCTTTAGATCAGGTGTATTTCTCTTATTTGTTGCTTTAGATCAGGTGTATTTCTCTCTTATTTGTTGCTTTAGATCAGGTGTATTTCTCTCTTATTGTTTGTTGCTTTAGATCAGGTGTATCTCTCTTATTTGTTGCTTTAGATCAGGTGTATTTCTCTTATTTGTTGCTTTAGATCAGGTGTATTTCTCTTATTTGTTGCTTTAGATCAGGTGTATTTCTCTCTTATTTGTTGCTTTAGATCAGGTGTATTTCTCTCTTATTGTTTGTTGCTTTAGATCAGGTGTATCTCTCTTATTTGTTGCTTTAGATCAGGTGTATTTCTCTTATTTGTTGCTTTAGATCAGGTGTATTTCTCTTATTTGTTGCTTTAGATCAGGTGTATTTCTCTCCTATTTGTTGCTTTAGATCAGGTGTATTTCTCTCTTATTTGTTGCTTTAGATCAGGTGTATTTCTCTCTTATTTGTTGCTTTAGATCAGGTGTATCTCTCTCTTATTTGTTGCTTTAGATCAGATGTATCTCTCTTATTTGTTGCTTTAGATCAGGTGTATCTCTCTTGTTTGTTGCTTTAGATCAGGTGTATTTCTCTCTTATTTGTTGCTTTAGATCAGGTGTATTTCTCTCTTATTTGTTGCTTTAGATCAGGTGTATTTCTCTCTTATTTGTTGCTTTAGATCAGGTGTATTTCTCTCTTATTTGTTGCTTTAGATCAGATGTATCTCTCTTGTTTGTTGCTTTAGATCAGGTGTATTTCTCTCTTATTTGTTGCTTTAGATCAGGTGTATTTCTCTCTTATTTGTTGCTTTAGATCAGATGTATCTCTCTTGTTTGTTGCTTTAGATCAGGTGTTTCTCTCTCTTATTTGGTGCTTTAGATCAGGTGTATCTCTCTCTTGTTTGTTGCTTTAGATCAGGTGTATCTCTCTTGTTTGTTGCTTTAGATCAGGTGTATTTCTCTTATTTGTTACTTTAGATCAGATGTATTTCTCTCTTATTTGTTGCTTTAGATCAGGTGTATTTCTCTTGTTTGTTGCTTTAGATCAGGTGTATTTCTCTTGTTTGTTGCTTTAGATCAGGTGTATTTCTCTTATTTGTTGCTTTAGATCAGGTGTATTTCTCTTGTTTGTTACTTTAGATCAGATGTATTTCTCTCTTATTTGTTGCTTTAGATCAGGTGTATTTCTCTCTTATTTGTTGCTTTAGATCAGGTGTATTTCTCTTATTTGTTGCTTTAGATCAGGTGTATTTCTCTCTTATTTGTTGCTTTAGATCAGGTGTATTTCTCTTATTTGTTGCTTTAGATCAGGTGTATTTTCTCTTATTTGTTGCTTTAGATCAGGTGTATTTCTCTCTTATTTGTTGCTTTAGATCAGGTGTATTTCTCTTATTTGTTGCTTTAGATCAGGTGTATTTCTCTCTTATTTGTTGCTTTAGATCAGGTGTATTTCTCTTATTTGTTGCTTTAGATCAGGTGTATTTCTCTTATTTGTTGCTTTAGATCAGGTGTATTTCTCTTATTTGTTACTTTAGATCAGATGTATTTCTCTCTTATTTGTTGCTTTAGATCAGGTGTATTTCTCTCTTATTTGTTGCTTTAGATCAGGTGTATTTCTCTTATTTGTTGCTTTAGATCAGGTGTATTTCTCTCTTATTTGTTGCTTTAGATCAGGTGTATTTCTCTTATTTGTTGCTTTAGATCAGGTGTATTTCTCTCTTATTTGTTGCTTTAGATCAGGTGTATTTCTCTTATTTGTTGCTTTAGATCAGGTGTATTTCTCTCTTATTTGTTGCTTTAGATCAGGTGTATTTCTCTTATTTGTTACTTTAGATCAGATGTATTTCTCTCTTATTTGTTGCTTTAGATCAGGTGTATTTCTCTCTTATTTGTTGCTTTAGATCAGGTGTATTTCTCTCTTATTTGTTGCTTTAGATCAGGTGTATTTCTCTCTTATTTGTTGCTTTAGATCAGGTGTATTTCTCTTATTTGTTGCTTTAGATCAGGTGTATTTCTCTTATTTGTTGCTTTAGATCAGGTGTATTTCTCTCTTATTTGTTGCTTTAGATCAGGTGTATTTCTCTCTTATTTGTTGCTTTAGATCAGGTGTATTTCTCTCTTATTTGTTGCTTTAGATCAGGTGTATTTCTCTCTTATTTGTTGCTTTAGATCAGGTGTATTTCTCTCTTATTTGTTGCTTTAGATCAGGTGTATTTCTCTCTTATTTGTTGCTTTAGATCAGGTGTATTTCTCTCTTATTTGTTGCTTTAGATCAGGTGTATCTCTCTTATTTGTTGCTTTAGATCAGGTGTATTTCTCTTATTTGTTGCTTTAGATCAGATGTATTTCTCTCTTATTTGTTGCTTTAGATCAGGTGTATTTCTCTCTTATTTGTTGCTTTAGATCAGGTGTATTTCTCTCTTATTTGTTGCTTTAGATCAGGTGTATTTCTCTTATTTGTTGCTTTAGATCAGGTGTATCTC